ATGTAGTTCTACCATATGTATTGTTGATAATAACAATGCTTGTGATGAATTACTTACTATATAATTGAGCTAGATGTGGCCTTTTAATTGTTTTACTCAAGTTTTTCTTCTCGATGTTATGATCATACTCCATGGTTGATTCACGTAGACATATTTGAAGGTGCTGGCTTTGAAATCTTGGTTGAACTTTTATGTCCGTTATTTTTTTAATGAAGGATAAAAGGTTTTAATGGATTGAGAAAGATATGAAAAAAAGGATATTGTGGTTCTTAGAAGTACTTTGATAGGGAGGAAATGAAGAATTGTTAGTTGCTTACTTTTTTAAGGGTTGTAGGCCGAAGCCAGAATAGTGGATCTAAAGCAGAAGTCAAAATAAAAATAATCAGGAATTCAGGGTCCATTATTGTTATCTGAAGTTGTGAAAGTGAACTTTTAATTTTTTAAACCAATGACCAAACAAAGGTTCTTTGCCTTCTCCTCGGTATATAACTCAAACTTTAATCTCTAAATCAACTCTTTTGTGAAGCTAACCTATATTACCAATTATGCCGTCAACAGCCTGCTGAAATGCTATAGTATGACTTCCATAGTATGACTTCCATTAAGAAGAGGTTAACATATTCATAACAACTTAAGGCATGTGATAATACCATTATGTTTTCTTTTCAAAGTCCATTTTGATGTTATAGTGGCCATTGCTCCTGCTAATTTAGGTGATGGGACTCCTTTTCGACGAGGATGGGGAGGCATATCAATCTTGAGATGGTCGCCTACTGGAGATTACTTTTTTGCAGCTATGTTGTAAGTTCTTGGACTTAAACCATCTTAAATTCATTATTTATGATGTCCCATCAGATTATGTATTGAAAATTTATTCATTTGCAGTGATGGAACATTTTATCTATGGGAGACTGGGACTTGGACATCACAACCATGGTCTTCAAGTCGTGGTTTTGTTACGGTGAGGGAATACCTTGGTCACTTGATCATAACTGATTTCTTTGATTTGAACTTACAGTCTACTGTTATAAGCTTCTTTGATTGTGTTAAATCGATTTTATAACTCCTTAGCTTGCTGATTTGAATTTACTGTATTTAAAATATTCACTGAGGTGCAAGTTGCAAGTAATAATGTGAAAATTTCAATTTTGTTGTTAACATGTTGAACAGATGTAATCTAATAATGCTTGTGAAAGATGAATGGTGGCCTCATTTTTGTTAAATGCTAAATGATTTTAGATTCATTACTTGTCCCTGAAATCACCCTTGCGGTCTAGTGGTTGAAGTGAATTTAATTGCTCGCCTTATTTGTGCTTTGGAATTGTATCTTTCTATTCTTATTTGTACTTTGGAATTTAGAATTGCTTGTCATCTTTACATCTGGCATTTGCCAATATTTTTCTCTAGATACATCTGCGTCAATGTCTAGACTTGTTGAATGCAGTTACATTTTTCTCTTTTTAGTATCACTTCCCGTATTCAGCTATGAAAGCCACTGTTATAATTGTGAATTACAGGTTATTGTTGAGTTTCGCACTTGTTTTATTTAAGTTTTTATGAAATAGAGAAGAATTTTCTTGAAATTGATGCTTCCTCGTTCGTGTTTCTTTTGTAGGGGGCAACATGGGATCCTGACGGGCGTATGATTTTGCTTTCCTTTTCAAATTCTTCTACTTTGGGATCTGTTCACTTTGCATCAAAACCTCCGTCTCTTGGTACTTAAAGCTGCCTATGCCCCATGCCCTTCCTAAGCTTCTAATGTATACAATTTCTATCAGTGTGACCTATTTTGTACCTTTAATTTTATTCTGAAATCATTTCTACAGTTGCACACCTACTCCCAGTTGATCTCCCAGAGATATCTACTCTAACGAACAGGTACTATCTATGTTTGCTGTCTTATCTTGCATTCAATTGCAACCCAAGATCTCTTTGTAGACTACACGATTTAAAAGTGAATGTTACTCAAATTGATATTCTCTTCGGTGCTACTTAATGATTTAGTTGTATGAATTACGAAGGTACAAACTTGTCTCTGTAAGTGTTCAGTCTGGTGGTTGGATTGGGTGGGGATAGGCTGGAAATATGAACCTGTAATTCTGTAAACATGATTGAAAGAGGTTTCAAATGCTATGACTTGGTATTTCCTGATACATTACACCTTTATAAAATTCCAAATTTGTAGGCATTGTTTTCATAAATTGGAAAGCTTAATGCTAATTATACCTCAATTCGTCTGTAAGTGTATTGACAGTGAACAAGAAGCTTCTTAAATCACCTTTTTGGTTTTTTCTTATCATTTATTGCAGTCAGCAGATCGAGAAAATAGCTTGGGATGCTTCAGGAGAACGATTAGCCATATCTTTCAAAGAAGGAGATGAGTTGTACCGTGGTCTTATTGCCATATATGATATTAGGAGGACTCCTCTGATCGCGGCATCTCTAGTGTGAGTTACTTTGATTTATTATTAATATCCGATACTTTTATTTTCAGTCTGTGCTCTGTGTGTTGGTCTTTTAATCTTTCATATCCAAAATAAATTAATGGTAATGATGGAAAACATACTAGCTAAAATGATTTCTATCTTTTTTTCTGGTGCATCCAGTGGATTCATCAGAGGACCTGGGGACAATCCCAAGGCTATAGCGTTTTCTTTCCATGACAAGTTCAAACAGGGACCGTTGCTATCTGTGGTAAATATTTTTCTTCTTCATCCCTCTTATTCAACTAGTCTTGAAATGTAGCTTATTTTAGTCAATCTTTACTTTTCAGTGCTGGAGCAGTGGTTTCTGCTGCACCTATCCTCTTTTATTTCGTTCTCATATTCTTCCTTAGTTGAGGTATGCCTTTACAGTTAAACAAGGCTTATGATCTTTTGAATAATTGTGGGATTAGGGAAAGGTGACATCGCTTAATTTTCTTTTGAAATTATTGTCTGATATATGATATATTTGGAAGGTTGTATGTTGTCCGTGACTTTGGCTTGTGGAGAGTAGTTGTCTACCTGTTTGGAGTAATGTGCCAAGACCGTTTGTAAGGTACGTTGTCTTTGGAAGGTGCTGTAAAGAAATTAACTCCAATGTTGAAATTTTGCGCCTTATTTCAGCCTATTGGTATATTATAGAGTAAATGTCACTCTACCTATAAAAAAAAAAAAAAATTATTAAAAAATTCTTTTCTTTTCTCATTGGTTTTATCGTATGAAGGAGTTAAAATGCTGTTAATTTATAACTCTTTGCAGTAGGCTGTTTTTGGAAAGGGGAGGCGTTGCTTCAGTTCTGCAAGCGGCTGGAACTTCTGGCAAACAAAATTTCCCTGTTGTCTGATTCGTAGACTCACAGTCTCCGGCATTTCTGTTTTTTATAACAGTGGCAAACAGGTCTTTAAAAGACAACAGAGCCCCAAGGCAATTTTTGATGCTATGAATTAACTGTATATTAAATTCAGACATTCTTTCAATGCTATAAAAAATCCTCTCTTGTGTCTACGGTATTGTTTTGCACTTCAGATACTGTCTATTCGATTGTTATTTTGCAGTCAAATTTTATATGCAAATAGTGATGTTAAATCATGTACAGAAGCCAAGCTATCTATAGCAGAGCTTAACTGTGTTTAAATCTATATCTGGTTTCGGAACTTTTGTATGTTCTTGAGTGAACGCAAGCATAAATGGTGAATCTACCCTTACAAGTTACAAAGTACGGAGTAAGAAAACAAAATCAAAAGAATGTAATTAACCAATTACGCACGAATATCTAGAGTAGACATTCAACTTGTATGGTATTTTATTTGTAGTTGGATTTTGCTGGAAAGTTAAGCAAATACTCTTGTCTTTATTTCTACTTGTAGTAATCTTCAGGAAAACTATACATATGTTCAGGAAAACAGGTCCACTGAATATTGCTCATAATTCCATAATGGGAAGACTAAATTGTCCAGCTACTTTTTGTCTTTTTTATTCTTTTGCCATTTATTGAATAATTTTATGTTCTATCAAAAAAAAAAAAAAAAAACTATGTTATTTATTTTTGTGATAAATATATAAATGTTGTCTGGACTTTGTAGCATGCTTAAAAGGGGTGGTTATTTGGAAGTCTGGGGTAGTTGCAAAGCCTTATCAGCATTTTGATCTAGGCAAAAATACGGGCAAATAATTTTTAATAATGGTTATTGTTGTTATTATTGTTATTGTTGTTACTCTATTATTTATTGTTGTTGTTGTATAAAAAGGATTGGTGGGATAAACAAGTGCAAATCATTGAAGTTCGAAGTACAAAATTTCATTAAAATTCCGTTAATAATATAATTATAGGAGCTTGTCAAAATTATATAAAGTGATAATTATAAGAGTACTTTTTAAAGGTAAATATATCCAAATTAATCAGCTTTTAAGTAATGTTCTCTTCTTTGGAATTTCACTTATTTGAATATTTAGCCTTGAACTTATCTTACATAGTATTCAAATTTATTCTAACATATTGTATTGTCTAAATTTATCAACCATTATTCCATGTTATAGAGTACTTAATTGCGCTCATATTATCCTACTATTTAAATTTATTAAATCTTATTTCGTAACTTATCAAACTTAAAATAAGAATAAGTAAAATTGAGTTGAGTAAGCACAAATCCTTGAAATCCTACGCTTATCGTGAATCTCGATTCGTTTAGCCAGAGTATAACATCTCATTTGTACATGTGTTTTTAATCAACAGATTGACTATTTAGTACGCCGTATGAAGTATCTTAGTGGAACGAAACGACTAATACTCTTACTAATTATATACTTCGTATAACATCAATCATCGAATCATGTACATAGATCTAAAACAAGTAAATAATGGTCCTACAAAAACAAAAATTTCTCCAATTCTCCATAATTATTCTAGGAAATCCGTATAATTACTACTTTTCTACCATTTCAATAAACAAATTAATTGCCTTATCCAAAACATTATATTATTTGGATAATAATGTCACATATGATGACTATAATGTCGGATTCATCCTTAAAAGTAAAGATAAACTTATCTTCAACCCGTCTCTGTTCATAATTTTCCGGCGTAACTCAACACTCTTTCAAGTGGCCCCTATCTTTGTTTTGGGGTCACTTGCAATTTTTCCCTCTTTTTCTCTCTCCTCTTTCTATATAAATCATAAGCTAATCTTCCTATTTTTGTCATAATTATAACCATCTTTTTTCTTTCTAATTATTAAGAACTTTACTTTGAAGTCTGTCCATTTTCCTGGTGAACAATGTATGTTATAGTTATTATTGATTAATTTGCATATGATTTGTTTTTAATGTTTTCAAAGATTGTAGCTTTATTGGGAATTAATGAGATTATTGAGGAAAGATTGAATTTTTATGATAAAGTAATTTAATGGCGGAGCATGTGATTTGTTTGTTTAATGTAGTTCATGGTTTTTAGATTAGTTTAAATTATAAGATTCTTTTGTCTGATTTAATTTGCATTATTTGGAGGGTTAGTTGCATATTAGTTGTATTGCATGCATTAGTTGTATCTTTTGACTTTTTGTTCTTTCACCATATGATTTCTGGGTTTGTTAATTTGTTGCTAATTTTTTTTTGTTGCTAGTTAAGAAAATTAAGGTGCGTAATTGTGTTTATGAGCTATTTTGTACATGGGGTTTTATTTTTTTTTAATTTTAAATTTAAAAATTAAAGGTTTTATTTGGAATAACTGAGATTAATAGAGTGAATGATCACAATTAGTTTCATGCTTTTGGAGTTTATCTTTGAGTATATGCAACGTAATTTATATCCACCTAAAAAAAAAGGTCTTTTGTACATTTTGATAACTAATTACTCATTTTGCATTTAATGCTATTTTGGCCAATTTTGAGGGGTGATTTAATTATAGATTTGTCTAACTTAATTTGGTGACAGATTTTGGAAAATTGGCAGAAGATTAATGTGTTGAGGCATCAAAATGGGTGGATATTGTCTGTTGATATTGCTAATAGGGGCATGTACTTTGTATAGTTCATATGGTGTTGGAAAGATCAAACAGACTGAAACAGCAACACTTACAGTAGATGCTAATGCTGCTGGTCGAGCGATTCCGGATAAGTTGTTTGGGATTTTCTTTGAGGTCATTTTCTTGGAACTTCTGATTTTCATCCTGAGCTTCTTTATATAAAATGGAGTTTACTTAGTTTAAGAGTGCAAAATTGGGCTTTATTTGCAGTTGATTTGTCTTGCAGTTTGTCTAATTTCGCGTGTTAATATAATGTAGTTCATGTTTATGTTTAATGTAAAATATGATTTGCTTCTCTATGGATAAAGAATTTGCAAAATGCTGTTTTATACAGGAAATCAATCATGCTGGATCTGGTGGACTTTGGGCAGAACTAGTAGACAACAGAGGTATGTCCTTTGTCCTCATTAACTCAAAATTGGGTCATTTTTCCTCTTGGATTGAGAAGCTTGAGCGAGTTATTTTCTTTATTAGCCATTGTTGTTGGCATGCCATTTTGCTTTTATCAGTTTGCATATTTATATGATTGCAATGTGGGTTAAAAACTGGAGACTTGGCAGGATTGATGAATTATACATCATATTAGACACTATCACTTTCGTTTGTTGCGCTCTAGCATACATTGATTTCTCCCAATTATTAATTAATGAAAATAAGTTTATGCTTATGGATATAATCTGGTAATTGTGTGTTTCTAGGTTTTGAAGCCGGAGGTCATCACACCCCTTCAAACATCAAGCCTTGGTCAATTGTTGGAGATGAATCAAACATCGTCTTATCTACAGACCTTTCATCATGCTTTGAGCGTAACAAAGTTGCTCTCCGGATGGATGTTTTATGTGGCAATGATGGTGCTAAATCTTGTCCTAGTGGCGGTGTAGGAGTCTATAACCCTGGATTTTGGGGGATGGTAAGAAGTTGGAATTAATTCATCCTTAAGTGCTGCTTCACCCGTGCTTTAATCTGTTTAATCATTTTTCCATGATTGATTTGGCAGAACATTGAACAAGGGAAGAGTTACAAAGTAGTCTTCTATGTTCGATCAACAGACTCAATTAATATAGATGTCTCATTGACTAGCTCAAATGGAGGCCTAGTGTTGGCTACCAGCAATGTGATGTAAGAGTTGTACTTACTCTGTGTTAGTATACAGGATCGTATGTAAACTACAAGTAAAAGGCTGCTTCTACATGCATTCTGACTCTAGTTTCTTTCTATGGCAGTGCTGATGCAGCTAAAGTTGCTAATTGGACAAGGATGGAGGTTATGCTGGAAGCGAAAAGTTCTGATCCAAATTCAAGGCTTCAATTAACAACCACCAAAAAGGGTGTATTGTGGATTGATCAAGTGTCAGCCATGCCAACAGATACCTATAAGGTAGAATTTTAGAATACAATAGATGTTCGATCGAATAATATTTGTAAACGCAATAATATATCTACATAACATATATGACAATATGTATGTTTCCCTATGTCTCTAATATATTCTAATGTCTCTAAAATAGATATCATATATAAGTTCAGGAAATACCTCCAATTAAAATTATAGCCAAGTATTCATCTGATCTTCCATGACAACCGAATTATTTCACTTGTAAATATTTGTAATTCATTCATTGAAGGAGGAAATATTTTGGATAATAATGTGCTTACAAACAAATTACCATCAATTCTTGAAATTTTTCTGTTGTACCTTATGAAATCTAATCTATTTACATAGGGACATGGATTCCGCAAGGACCTCTTTGAAAAGCTTGTTGATTTGGAACCAAAATTTTTTAGATTCCCAGGTAAAGTTTAGTACAGTCCTGTTGTTGCTTCATAGATGTATATGATGTTGGCATATCCTTTATTTTCCAAAAAGATACTTCTTCAATCTTCATGAGCTTGTCACATATTTGTTTATTCATTCTTGTGTTATGTTCTACCAGGTGGTTGTTTTGTTGAAGGTGAATGGCTAAGAAATGCTTTTCGCTGGAAAGAAACTGTTGGTCCATGGGAGGACAGACCGGGACATTTTGGAGATGTTTGGATGTATTGGACTGATGATGGGCTTGGCTACTATGAATTCCTCCAAGTAGGAATCATAAACTTTTTTCTCTTCTTTTTCTTTAATTAACTATCGTCAAGAATGCAGGGAACTGTAGTTAAATATTGTGTTTGGAGTTTTGACAGTTGTCCGAAGATCTCGGGGCATCTCCAGTGTGGGTAATTAATAATGGTATGAAGTATGAACGTTTGTTTTGTTTGACTGATTCTCTTTTTTACTGTCTAAAGCTCCCTATTTGATGGATTTGTACTTGCTATTTGACTATCATAGGAATCAGTCACCAAGAGTCAGTTGAAACATCAATGGTAACTCCTTTTGTGCAAGTATGTTACTTCCTCTGCTTTCTTCCACTTGAAATAAACACTTTTTGCTATGCATTGCTACTTAATCGAATTGAGATACAAGTTTCATTCATACATAATTTCTGATAATCCAGTCAAATTCCTTCTCCTTCCAGAGCCTGATTTAATGTAGTAAACAGTTGATCTTATTCGACACTTTTCTATGAATCTAGGAAATGCTTGACAGTATAGAGTTTGCCAGAGGTGATAATTCTTCTCAATGGGGTTCCCTTAGAGCTGCGATGGGGCACCCAGAACCTTTTGAACTGAAATATATTGCTATTGGTAATGAAGATTGTGGGAAACCATATTATCAAGGTACATTTTTTTTCCATAAATTATTGTGCTCTACAATAACTGCTATTTATGCTCAAATCCACTGCTTTATAAATTGTACACCCGTTTTTGTTGGCAAGTTTGTGATTATATGCTTCCTGCCTTTGACATATCTGTTTTTCTTATTGAAATTCACAATAGATGAGAATTAAAGGGCAAAATTTACATTCTACTATGTAGCAAGTGTTCATCAGTCGAATATAAAGTTTTTCTTCTAAGATCAATGCTATGCCAAAAAGGGTCAATGACTATTATTCTTACATTATACCAATGGCTTTGCCTAGAGACTCATCTCTCTATCATTTCTGACCAGGAAATTACCTCAAGTTTTATGACGCCCTAAGAAAAGCCTATCCAGATATTCAAGTTATCTCTAATTGTGATGCGTCATCAACTCCATTGAGTCATCCAGCTGATCTATATGATTTTCATGTAAAAACTTCTCATCATTCTCTTTTGTATACGTCTCTGGTGTTGATGTACAGTTTTGAAATTTATAGCAACCGACTGAAGAAAGCCTTGTGTTTTTTTTTTAAAAAAAATATATTCCAGATATACACTTCTGCAGCTGATATGTTTTCTAAGAGTAATAAGTTTGACAAGACACGGCGTAATGGGCCAAAGGTACATGAAGAGGATTATTTTGTAATTTCTTCTGTAACATATATTGTACTCACTGTATAGTATATACCCTCTGTTTGACAGGCATTTGTGAGTGAATATGCTGTGACTGGAAAAGATGCTGGCACTGGAAGCCTTCTTGCTGCCTTGGGTGAAGCCGCATTCCTTATTGGAATAGAGAAAAATAGGTCAGCAATACATTTAGCCTCTATGTGAACTATGTTTTTTCTTTTAGCCATATAAATTGCTGAAATTCTGACAAAGATATCTGCAGAAATTTTGAACATATACAGAGGTTGCTTTAAAAGCTTTGGGTCGAGTTTGTTTTACTTCTTTGTGTCGATATCCACACAATCTTATGTTGTTGAAAAATTGCATTGTATTTTTGAGCGCAGTGATGCTGTTGAAATGGCAAGTTATGCTCCACTTTTTGTAAATACCCATGATAGACGATGGAATCCAGATGCTATTGTTTATGATTCTTCACGCGTCTATGGTACACCTAGCTATTGGATGCAACAATATTTCACAAAATCCAGCGGGGCAACTCTTCTCAATTCAGCACTTCAAGCCAGTTCCAAAGCTGCAGTTGTTGCCTCCGCAATCAGTTGGAAGAACACAACAGACAACAAGAACTATATAACTATTAAGGTATGGCACCTTTATATATAACTATTAAGGTATGGCACCTTAAACTATAAGTAGAGATTCCGTGATAATGACTGAGGAACACTTCCCTAGCATGCTCCTCTTGGCATATTTGATCTCACATGAGCTTAATAACATGTTAGCACTACTGCTTTATTTTCTGAAGTTCAAATTCTGCTAATGCAAACCTATCATGTCCTGTAAATGTCTCTGTTGGTTCAGTTATCTACTTGATACCTTTTTTAATGAGTTTGATACATCCAGCATTAGTGCAATTTTCTCAAAAAGTTAGATTTGTGTGGAGTAAAGTATTGAGTTTGTGGCAACTTCGTAAAATAACAATTGTCTGGTGGGATGAATAGAGATATGTGACCAATTAGTCCTTTTATTTCATTGAGGTTGCTGTAAGAAATGCTTTACCTGCTCAGGCTTCGGCTTCTTTTCATCTGAAAACCCTGAACTAAACTTATATAGTCCTTATCTTTTGACTAATCTGAACTTATTGGTCCTAATCTTATTTTAGTGGTAGATTGAACTTAGGTAGTCCTTGTCTGAGTATATTATCCTCAATCTGAACTTATCAAAACTCATTGTCTCTTGTCTGTACTTATTTCCAACGGTGAAAAGAACGATACCTCAACATTTTCTATCAGATTATTCAAATACCTTTCGCATGGTTTGCGTATGACTTGTGGTTGGAAAATGCATTTTGGTATACATAATTAGTTTTCAGTCTTTTTAAAAAGGGGTTTGATTATTGGTGCAGATTGTGAATTTCGGAAATAATTATGTGAACCTCAAGCTCTCAATTGGGGCTGAAAACTCTGTACAGCTAGTCGGGTCAAAGAAGACTGTTCTTACCTCTACCAATGTAATGGATGAGAATTCATTTCAAAGTCCTAATAAGGTAATATTCGAAACACATGACTTCATTCTGCAACTCATTCCTGACGATTTCTTGTTGACTTCAGACTGCTCTTACCTCTACCAATGTAGTCAGTTTTGTGTGGTTTTACTCTTTTATACCACCAACATATATCTGTACATCCCTTTAGAAATCCTGCATGATCGTGTATATTGTAATATGCATATGCTAAGTAACAAATTTCTGTTTTTACTCCCTCCTTAGAGAATTAACTGTCACGTACTCACGTTTCCTTGACTTATGAACTCCCATAATAAATCTAATTAAGGACATTAGAATATTGATCATAAATCATTACTGTTATAGGAAATGTGACAACTTTTTTTAAAAATGTACACCATCATAGAAAGCGTTTGTCAGATTATCTGGGACTGAAAGATTTTTTGTTATTAACAGGTGATTCCATCTTCTTCTCACTTCACATTAACTGGCAAAGACACAAATATCATGCTCCAGCCGATTTCTTTCACTTCATTTGATGTGATACAAGAACAACCAAGTCATCTGTTAATGAAGGAAGCAGATTCTGGCCTAAAATCTTCTATATGAAGAGCTTATACAGTATACAGTTTACATAGACACCAGACACATCCAAATACAGATTATGGGCTTTTGTACTCTTTGTATTCTGTAACAAGCGTGTGTCTTGGGCCGTGTACAGGAGTTTGATTCAACTCTTAACGAAGCCCACACGATTAAGACCAGCTTGTTTCATGCAAATTTATCTTTATAGTTCATTGGTTGTATAGATTCAAGGTTGGCTTATGAGCCTGATGTATATCATATAGATGTCATTTTAATCAATAAAAAGTGATTGCTTTCATTTCCCTTTATGAGGTATCCTTTCTTTATCAATTATAAAAATTATGTCCAGTAAAAAAAAAATTATTAATCAGCAAAATTAAGTTTCAACAAATGAAAACATTAATACTGAGAGACAGTGAATATATAAATTAAGTTTTTAATAAATAAAAATCATTTTAATTCTTGAAATTTGTCTAACAAACATTATAAAATAAAGTGAGTAAAAAAAATGAAAAGTGGTGGTATATATATGGGTCGCATACCTAAATATTAATTTTTGTAAAAAAATTTATCAACCATTCCTCTTAACTCTCACTTGATCTACCCTTCTTCTGAAAAATGGCCCTTTGACTGGATAGTATGGTGGTCAATCACATGATAAGTAGGTAACATATACTAATATAGTGAAAATTAAACCCTCTTTATAACCTCTTCTTTTCTGAATAAGTTAGATTTTAATTAGTTCCAGTCAATGAATCTCTACTAATCTTCACAAATTACAATAGTGTTCCAAAATAAAAAAAAAAAAATGAAGCAGAATGAAGAGAGCATCAGGTAATTTTTTCATCAGAACTAACACTCTCGATTACTTAGCTTCTTCCATTTTATATTACATGTCATGTATTGTGTAACTTGAACTAGTAACGTACTAACGTAACATTCACATCTTTATTTTCTCATGAATACGTTGCACTTTGTTTTTACTTGTGTTGCTTTAACCATGTCCATTACGTACATAGTAAATTAAATTAAAGTATAATTGCTTAGCATTTTCTTTAGTGAATATTAAATACTTCCAAGTTTTATTCGAATGTTCACTAATGCATATATTTGTCCTTGAGTTTTCTATTCTTAATTAATAGATTTTCTATGTTGTTTTAATTTGCAGAAGTATGTACCTATGTTCTTTGTTGAGGAGGTTGATATATAATGCATAAATAGATTATGGCCTCTTTTTCATTATCTATCTTTTTTAAGTAAAAGAAAGATAATGAAAAAGAGGCCACAATATATTGTTGCACAAATAGGAGCATCGACCACGAGAGACTGAGAGAGTCAAGTTTTTACTCTTAATTGGGTGTCTTACAATACGGTAAATTGAATTGGATGTTCGTTGTCTCCTTGACGTGGTACTATTGTTGGTAAGATAAGAAAGATGGTGTATAAAAAAGGTAAATGTTACTTGATCAGTCTAATGTCTTATCAAATATTATAATTAAAAGGTTGTACTTTTTTTTTTCGAGGAAAATTAACCGGTAGTACTTTTCTCATAATATAGAAGTATTATTTATGTTAGTGAAATGAGTCGTGATACAAATATTCATAGATCTTATATCCCTAGTATAGAACTAATCACACATAATTAAAGTAAAAACAATTAGAGCTACATAAACGGGTTACTATTAATAACAAAATTTAAAACTTAAAAATAAAAATTGAAAGAAAAAAACTAAGGGTTCTAAAAATATGAATAAAACTATTCTTACATTATTCAAGAATTTTAAGTTCTCTACTTGTGCATTCTACATTTATCGTTAATGTCTCATTGTCTCATATCATGCTTTTTGGAAGTGAATCTTAATCAACTTGAACTTGATTAGGTCACAAGTTACACAAGAATTGTTATATACACCCGGGTGCACCCAAGGGCATTATTTGCTCATTTCGATGATTATTGCTCATTTTATCATCCCAGGAGCAAACAAATACCTTTAGGTGCACTGTGCACCCGGTGTATATAACACTCTCTTGTTATTACTTGGCCTTATTGGGAGTTTTCGTCTTTTACTCACTCTCATTTCAAACCGTAATTAAAGTGTTAACATCAAATTTTATTACTCCTCCCAAATCAACGGACACCCTCCCAAACAACTTAAACCACGATTAGTTTGGTCATAGTCACATACTCACAAACCACATTAAGTCACCCACTATATAGGATAATCCTTTTGGATTATATAATAAACTTTGACTTTAATTAATCAATATATAAATGTCCATAATCCAACCCACCAAAACAAGTAGTATTAGGATTATACTGTATACGTAGTATTTTAAGTTAAGACTTTTGTATAGAAAACTTTTTGGTATATCATTACAAAATTTTGTTTACATATTATCTCTAATTATGAATAATTGTGTTAAGATAATCGTACATAAAATCTCATTTACACAAGTCTTAATTCTAGGAGATAATCAAATTGGATGTTATAATATCTCGATAGAATCTCGTTTACATCATTGTCCGATTATGATCATCTATACTCTAAATTGTTATTACATGAATGTGGAAAAACCAACTCACCATACCACAGAAAAGGAAGAACACCATATTAGAAAATCTCCCACTAATTGCGACCTTCAACTTCTTCCTTTCTACCCAAAAAAACAAAGCTTCAATACCATAAACCAATAAATAAAGCTCAAATTCACCAAACATTTTCACTTTTTTAGATAATTTTCTCAAAAATTTCAAAACCCTTTTCTCAAAAAATGGAGGAACAATCATCAACCCTCCTAAATCACACACCCACAAATTATTTAAGAAATTATCTCACTTCCACTTTCTCTCATTTTCTTCCATTAAACCATCCTTGCATCAATGGCGGCTACTCTGAGCTTCGAATTGATGATGATTCCGATGATGGGTCATCATCTGATCAACCTTACTGTAAACCCTTTGTTGTTCTTGATGTAATTTGGAATTTGGGGTTTGTTTTGGTGTCTGCTTTTGTGTTACTTTGCACAATTGCAGAGAAACCTTCTAGCCCTTTAAGGGTTTGGATTGTTGGCTATGCTCTACAATGTTTATTGCATGTGGGGTTTGTTTATTACGAGTTTCGCCGCCGTAATCATGGTGGTTTTGGCGGTGTTTCGGCGCCGGAAGGCCATTTGCAGTCTCACAATAGGTATACTTCTATGCTTTGGTACATCAACTTTGCATTTCTTGTTATTAGTCGTAAATATGATTTCTTTTGGGTTCAATTGAAAGAATTGGGTATAATTATATTTTTTTTGTTGTAATTTTCATGTTAGAGGTGATTTTGATTGGTGGGTTTTGCTTGTAATTGGGTGAAATCCTGAAATGTTTAATATTTGCTGTAGGTGAAAGAAAAAGATTAGCATTTTTGTGATTGGTTTTGGATTGTGGGTTGAGCCTGTGATCGGTTGGATTTAAACACTGGAGAAAAAAAAATTGAAAAAAAAAAAAAAAGAAATTGACATTTTGGAATTGTCATTTAATTTTGTTAGTTTACTGACTTGATGAATATGATGATAGTGATATGACTGATATCTTTGATTAATGGGTAGCCAGAATATAGGAAACAAATTTTTTTTGACATGTTTTACATTGCAATTTGGGGGTATTGTGATAATGATTGAAACTGATGTCTTTGGTTGATGGTATATGGTTGTAGTTTGCCAATATAGCCCAAAATCAGTAAATCATAATCAATACTCAGGTAGACTATTCGCTATACTTTAAAGTTGTCTTCTGTCATAATTTATGGTTTGGGATTATCTATATGTATATTAGTAGGAATTTTTTTATGGCAACATGCAAAGGTTAGGTTTGAGTTAATGGTTGTGGAAGGGCACTGCAATCTTTGTGGTCCTTATTATCTGGTTCATTGAGGGTATCACTGCTAAATCTCAATTGATCTAATTTTCAGTATTATGAAGAGATTGGAATCACTGAACACAGTAGCATCATCCTTTTGGTGGGTTTTTGGATTTTACTGGATCGTGTCCGGAGGCCAATCCCTTTTGCAGGATTCTCCCCGTCTTTATTGGTAAGTACATCTCTCTTTTTGTTTCTATTTATCTCTTCGTTCTAGGTTTTCTTGTTCCATTTTTAAAAATGCTATTGTTTCATAGGAAAGTATGAAACAGTCCTGTGTTAACTATTTAGGATAAAAAAATTACTGGATGAAGTAATGGGAAGAAATTTGATCATGAATTCTAGTTAAGAGAGCTGACAAAGTGACAAGTATGAACAGACTAAAAACTGGGTTGATAGACTATAGCCAATTACTAAGCTCAAGATTAGATATTCTTCTCCCAAGTGATTCTAACCTTGCTTCTAGCGAGTAGTAGGCTATGCTTTGGGGGCTTTTAAAAAAGTTCTTCATTTGTATCTTCTTGTGGTCTCATCTTTTAAAACCTACACTGCTGTAGTTGTATGTTGTTTAGCAAATTTACAACAGTTCACATGTTATTAGTTTCGTTCGATGAAGGTCTATTAGATTTTGGTTGTTATGTTGTTCTGGTCTTGCTGCATTTGAGTGGATTGTTAGGGTTATGTCCCTTACAAGTCAGAATCTAGGTTGGTGCCAGAGGGAGGTTCCTATTTCCTGTAGATTAGCACAGTAAGAAAAAAGATTCATCTTCATTTTAGATTTTTAGGGACAATTTGTTCAACTTTGTGGTATGGCTCTATGTACATCTTGTACATCCTTAAAACCATGTCTAAGATTGGATCCATATTGGACAGCGGTGTTCTGTTTTCTGGTGAGTAGAAGAAGGAAGCCTTGGGAGCCGTTGGTGATTAACATTTTAGAGTCATGCTGATGCAAGTGGGCCAAAATAATTGGGTGTTTGTACGTGTATCAGCAATACTGTTCAGGGGGGTTGTGGAGGAGGTTTTAAGTATCAATGATGGTCATTGGTTAATGTGTGAAATTTGTCCTCCAGCTCCTTTCACGTTGACCCAGATTTCAATTGGGAACAGGGGAAGGTGACTTTGATCTACTGCTAATACCGTGTAGTTAATTCTTTATTATAGTGCTTTAGAGAGCAATTGATAAGTTTGTTGGGCCGTTTCCTAACCCAGTTCTACTGGTCTCCTTCCTTCCTAGCTCATTGGTGGTCGGTCTCAATTCAATATAAGTCACGATGAGTAGATTTATGAAAAGACTTTGAATCCTTTTTATCGGTTGATTGCTAATTTGCTACATCTTTTTCCTTTTTCATGATCCTGGGGAGAATAGCTGTAGCTCATCTGTGTAGCTGTGTGGTGGTAATATGAATCCATTATATTTTCAAAAAAATTGAGAAGAGCGCTGAATCTTAATCTGTCTTATGGCTTTGTGAAACTGTTGTATGCAATTCTTTCAATGAAACTTATGGATAGATGATGAAGGTTGTTGCTTTGTTTTATCTTTGGGGCTGTTTGGGCTGTTGGGGTATGGACATTTCCTCCTTTTTTTTTATGCAGAAGTTTATAAGGGGAAGGGGGAGGGGTTGCTGCCAAGTTGAATCAATCTGTTAATAGTATGAGAGAAATCATATATGAGTAGATCTTCAGCGGTAGATCTTATTTGCAGGTTCCAGGCTTAGTACATCTTATTCTGCCTTTTAATTCAAGACCTACCATTAAGTATTCTTCTCTCCCCCTCCCCCCCCCCCCCCTTTTTTTTCTCTTCCAAATAATGTAGGTGCACAAGGAGTCTGCGTGGAAGTATTGCTGGCTTTCTTTTTAGTTGTTCCTACATGATTCTTGTTACTATTTATTTTAAATGAATTGATGGTGTGGATAGCTCATAAAAATTATCTTCTCTATGAGGAGTTGGCTTAGAGATTGAGTGGTTTGATTTGACCATCAAGTGTCATCATGTCAGAGCTCCTCAATTCGTTGTATTCATGATTTTAAAGTTTCTTTTTTTCATTTCGGGGGGGGGGGGGGGGGGGGGGGGGGGAATATATGATTGTCTGCTTGATATCCTTTCCATTTTCCAATGCCTCATGGAAATCTCTCTACCAATGTTACTGGCATGTTAAGATTTCTTTTATGGAGATATGCAGATGAAAGCATGAAACTAATGACTTTCTGAAAATGATTATTGTTCTCTTTTGGTGCTGAGGTGGAGAGGATGATGAAGCTATGGTTATTGTATGCTTTAGAGGATCTGTATGTTACTAGGTGGTTATAAAGGGTATATATATACACTTGGTTTTTTTTTTTTTTTTTTTTTTTGGGGGTGGGGTGGGGGGGGGGGGGGAGATCAAAACAATGATATTTTTTCTTGGTACCTGAAGCCCTAAACAGAGTTGTGTATATTGGTGCTGTGGGTCAGCCTCCCTTGACAGCCATGATAGTTGTGGGCACGAGGAGAGATGATTATGGTTGTGGCTTCGTGGTTACGGTGATTATATCGCATGCTCTGGAGGATGTTTATGTTGGTGTTGTGGGTTAGTCACCCTTGATAGCGAAGATAGTTGTAATTTTGGCTAATGTATATTGAAATTGTGGTTACGGAGTGGAGGCAAGTGGACAAATAGATCCCTCCATGGCTTTGGTTGGATCTTAGAATTGGAGGACCTAGCCAAGTCAGTTCAGGCTAGCTTAATCATTTGACTGGCTCGATCTTTAACTCTTGTTATGAAGCTAGACTGTTGTAGTTTTGATAAGTTAAATGATTTGCCCCTAAGGTACCTTTAAGGTAAAAAAGATGAAGGCCTGCTCTGAGTTAAATCCTCTGAATTGAAGTGGGCTGATTTTTTGGGCGTTGCTGAATGAACCACTAATTTCACTTTCTGAACCCATGTCAGCTTGCAAATTATCATGGTGCTTTCTGAATAGAAGCCATTTCAGACAGGTTTCACTTTGTACGAGGACGAGTGCGCCTACTTGTTTGGGACAGGGTTAAGGAGGATCTTAAGTTGTGTTGGTGGTGAGTACGGGGGATGTAGTAGTAATTTTGGGCAAGAAAAGGAGGACAATCTGTAGCTTTTGCATTGGCAAACACGTGGTAGATTTGGAGTTATGAATAAGTAGAATGTAGCATAGGTTGGATTTCTACCTTAGTAACCTGAAACAAGAGGAATGAGGATTGGTTGTAACCTTACCATGCCAAACCAAACACGGTGGGACTCAAGACTTGTTACTTTGTTAGTTCTTTTCTCGTCACAGTGTTACACACGTACACTGTTGTTGATTTATCCTCATCCTTCCTCGTATATAGATTTGTCCCTTGGTTCATTTGTGTATTCACCATGCTATTTCCTGCTCTTTACATATGATTACTGAACAAGATTCCAACCCTGTCCCCACCCACCCCCACCTAGAAAGAACTATGTGCAAGTCTTTGGATATTTTTTTTTCTTCTTCTTTTGGTGCTAATGAAATAATCAGTTATGAATAATGATGCTTATCTTAATACTCAGTAGGAGGCAAAAGTTCTAAACTTTTATTCAGACTAGGGTACCCATAAATCTATAACTGACACAAATGTGTCCAAGTGTTTGGCTCATCTGTTTGTCGTCATGAATGCCGAAGTTTCTGTACCAATGTTGGAGTATCAAGGATGTACTTGGGGTAAAATGAAGAGTCTGGTTAAGATAGGTTCTGTTACCATTCTTGGACAATTTGTGACCATTCTCATATTCCATTAATTTAGACTGTTTTCTTTTGATCTATCTTTTGCCTCTGCATTTGATATCATTAAGTTTTTTGGTTTTATTAAATACATTTGGGTTTTCTTATTTTCAAGTTTTGCAATAATGACATGGAGTATTTACGTTGTGGTACTGGTGCTATAGTTTTCAGATGTCATCCTCTTAGTTTCTACATATTGTCAGTATATATATATATGCTACTCAGGGTTGTATTCTTATGCTCAAGGAACATGATGTTGAATTTTTTTTTGTTGAATTGCAGGTTAGCTGTAGTATTCCTGGCACTCGATGTGTTCTTTATGATATTTTGCATAGGAATGGCCTGTATAATTTGCCTTGCTCTTTTTTGTTGTATCCCAATTGTGGCAATTGCTTATGCCATGACGATTAGAGAAGGAGCATCTGAAGATGAGATCAGACTACTTCCAAAGTATAGGTTCCATCAGTCTTATGCATTAAAGATGTCTGCCTCTGTGGATTTGGGAAATATGAATGCTGCTGACGAACTAGCCTTGCAATTTGAAAATTCTGTGAGTGGCACCGCCTTTTATATTTTATAAGACCATACTGTATTTTTTATGCTTGGAAAACATTTCCCTCTTTTTTCTCATTGAAAAAAATTCTAGCCGGTAAGTTTAAGCATGCTGATATGCATGAAGGATATCTTTAGTGTTTGGCAAAGGCCTGCAGTCCATTAGTTTTTTTGGGATAATGATGGAAATATATAAATTGAAATCAAGTTCACAGTACTGTAAATACTATACAATGTGTCCCTGGGATCTGACTTGTTTGTGTCTTTTGCAGGAATGCTGTATATGCTTATCACGGTATGTGGAAGGAGCAGAATTATGCACCCTTCCATGCAACCACAATTTCCATTATGGATGCATCAGCAGATGGCTGCGGATAAATGCTACCTGTCCGCTTTGTAAATTTAATATCAAGGCTAAAGGTGATGCATTGGTCTAATAAGAATATGCTCTCTGAAGCTGTGATTATTAGCTCAGTCAGTTAACTGTTCTCCCCTCAAAATGAAGATCGATAGTGATGAAGCACTGCTGATTTCTCACCGATCTGCTGGCACTTGGTAGCTACTAATAGATCATGTAGAAAGGCAATATGTAGAGAAAACTGTTTCCCCCGGCTTCTGTAATCTTAACTGTTAAATTAGTGTAAATAATCAATTTTTAATTTAGGTCTCTTTCTAACTCACCATATCAATTTTCTTTGGTTTTCAAATCTTGAAGCAATAATTGATACAATGCTGAAAATAATGTAGTACGACTCCGTGTCACAGAGTTGCTATCTAAAACTACTGGGACGAGTTTTGCCTGTAAAGAAAAAGGCACGAGTCGCACGACTTTGTAACATTGAAAGCATGCTAGCTTTGCCTAACTATACCCTTTCCACCTCTAGATAATTTTGACCAACTACTGGGACTATGCTCTCCGGCTCTCCCTTCCACCCCAGGCTTTAAACCTGAATTTGAAAAAAATACACACTAAACTTTAAGTTAACGGAACTTCATCTAACCCACCCCAATATGTATTGGAAATTAAGAAAGGCCCTCTTATAGTTCTATGAGCCTTTATTATTATCATTTTTTAAGAAATATTTTGGTTCTTTTTTACTTGGAATGAATAAATTTGAATTGAGCTAAAATGAAATAAAAACTAGAAAGCAAATTGACTGAACTAAACTAAATTGAAAACCAAATCCTAACTAACAGGGTATTACACCCCTAAACCAATTCATGTGCGTGAAAGGGCCAACATTGGGAGAATTAAGGGGTAAAATTAAAGCCAATTCTAGGAAAAATGATCTACATTGCCCTTGATAGATTGTTGCAAACAGAAAAAACAAGTACAAATTGTTCAAACATATACATTCTGCTGAATTGGAAAAAGTTGTGCATATCTATGTTTCTCATCAACTTCGGCATCTACAGGACAAGATTTCTCTGCTAGAACAAAATACCAAACATGCTACAAAAGGAGTATTAAAATTTTTTTTTTCTTAAGCCAAACAGTTAGTGACCTGACTGCTGCTTCTCTTACACATTCTTGAGCTTCTTCATCTTTGAAGGTGGCCATCGGCCCTTCTTCCTCATCTTTCTTTTTCGCATTAGACGATTCCTCCGGAGTCTAATCTTCTTTGCCAATTTCATCTTTAACTTCTGTTCAAGCTTCATTTGCAACTTTGACTCCAGTGGAAGATTCTCAACTGATTTCTTATCTTCCTCATCTGGTGACTGATCTCCACCTTCTCCAACAGGCTCCTCTGCAGCTGAGACCATTGCAACGACAATGCCTCTCTTTTGAGCAATTACGGGTCCATGAGCCTGTAAGCTGTGTCCAAAGGTTGGATGCAATGCAACACACACATTTTGCAGCCTGATTGCTGAAAGTCCACCAAAAAAAGTCAGTCATCCATTAGGACAGTATAGCAAAGTAAACAGGCCAGGCAACAACATTCATGTTTGATTTCTAATTCGAATATCATTCCAACAGTACATGTACATTAATACTCCATACAATGATTTTCTAAGATTCATTTTCTTCAACAATCTGCATTTGATTATCTATACAAGACACCTCAAAACCTTGCTAAGAACCACTACTCTGATATCTTATCGAGGCGATTACCAATATGGCATAATTGGCATCTACAAGGAACATTACCAAACACCAAAAAGAAAGATGCAGAAAGATAACCTGTACATAACTCGTTTCGAGCTTACTCAAGAACATTGCTGCAAACAGCCTTACAAGAGTACTAGGGAACCAAGTGGGCTGTAGTATGTCCTAATTCTTATGAATAATAGCAAATTGTAAGCAAATTCAGGATTATAAAAGGTCCCACAAACGAAAATTTTCATCCTAATCCCATAAAACTTTAAGGTTACATAAATTAAAATTCAATCTATTAGATAATACTGGGGAAAAAGACAGTAAATTTGGGAAACCCAATTGAACCCAGAACAAGAGTACAAAGTCAAAATTGGTGCAAATCTCATCGATGCAACATTAACAAGATTGAAATAAATGATTAAACAGATTATTTAAGTATAAGCTTAGCTTAAAATTTGACCCAAAATTACATCAATTAAAGAAGCACTCCAACTGCTCGACGAAATTCCCCAATGAAATACAAAAGCAAGATAACCCCAACTAACAGGGCAAAGCAGAATACAGAAAATGGGTGTTAAAGCAGTAAAACAATTAAACCAAGTAAAACACAAACAGATAAACAAAACTCAGAATTCAGCAAACATGATGATGAATGAGTTGTATAATATATGCATTAAATTCAAACCCAGAAATTGAAAATGAATAAAGTAATGAAGAAAATACTCACGGAAGGAAGAAGAAATAGCAATGGAGGTTAAAGGAGGAGCAGAGGAGAGAGAAAGGAGAGGTGAAAGGAGAGCCATCTCTCTGCTTAGCGCAGTAGAGTGGGAGGGTGGCTTTTGGATAAGCTTTTGTAAAGATGGCGGGGATAAAATAATATCACATGGGATGAAACGAGAGGTGATCAACATCGACCCGCTGTGAAAATAGGCGGGTTGGGGCAAGTCTAAAATCGTTTTTTTAGTTAAAAATTCAAATCTAATTCGAAAAAAGCCCGACAAACCTATTATTTTTTTTTGTGGGTTTGGACATGAGATATCATGTTAACTACTGAGCTAATAATCACAGCTTCAAAGAGCATTTATTGTACAAAAGGTGGATCGATTTAAATAGCAAATGAAAATTTTAAAATATATATGAAGCAAAACGGTGATGGTGTTTTTTATGTGTGGTTGACCACACCGTATGGCCGGAGTTACTTATTTAGAGGTTACTAAGTCGGTCAATAGTTACTTATTTTGGGTTTACTCAATCTGTCAAGGGTTACTTATCCTAGGGATACTCCGCTGGTTAGCACGTTTTCTATGTGAGAGTAACCTCTGATTGATCAAGTAACCCCTGACCAAAATATCCCCGATCGACTGAGTAATTCATGATTAAGTAGCCCCGGCCCTAGCCGACCAAGTAAATGAGTAATCATTGAATAAGTAAACCTTGATTAAGTAACCCGATCACACGATGTAGCAAGCCACACAAGAAAATGAGTGAAACCGTGAAGGTAAATGTTGTAAATTATGAGTTAATTAATGTTTAATTTTATCCTCAGATTTAGCATACTATTAATTAAGATTGCAGCAATTATAGATGATTGAAAGCATCTAATTAGATTGCTACTTGATTGAAAATTATAATAATAATTAAGATTGCAGCAATTATATGGCTTTTAAAATGTTTATTTACATGTTTTGTACTAAGCTCCCTCAATCCTTAAATTACATTCCTATTATTACTCCCTCCGTTCCGAATACTTCGACCATTTTGGTCTAATTTAAGTCCGAAAATAATTGATCCAATTGCATTAAAATACCCACAAACTATTTGTGCAAAATTAGTTTCCCCCATATAAAATTTTGTTTTTTCATGTATTTTTAATACTTTATCTCTCTACTTTTTTACAAATCCCGTGTAAATTTATCTTTCTAATATGTTTTTATTTCTTTTTATTTAAGTTTCTTAATAACCGCGAAATCAACCCTAAAGTGTTGAAGTTTTGGGGACGGAGGGAGTAGCTAGTATTTATTCCTCACATAGGGTTGGTTTGGTAAATGGTTTTTCATTGGCTTTTGACTTTTGGATTTTTCATTTGGTCAAACATCCAAAATTTGTGTTTGGTAAATGGCTTTTTCAGCCAGCTTTTCAGCTAGCTTTTATGCCAAAGTGAACAAGCTACTTGGAGAAGTTTTTGGCTTTTGGCTACCTAAGTTACTAATAACATCCAACAACCAATTTTACCAAATATGTTTTAGACTAATAAAAAGTCAAACAGCCAGCAAAAAAGCCAATACAACCAGCCAGTCAAACCATCCGACAACCAGCAACCAATTGTCAAACAAGGCCATAATAGAGAAGTAGAAATGTAATTTAGGGACGGAGATAGTAGAATAGGCACATGCACGGAATGGTTCATATGTGAAACCTTAGAAGTTTTCATGTGATGTTGACCTATGACTTCAAAAAAACATCTATTCATTGTGTCTAGTTTAAAAATATACAAATATACAGAGTAATGTTATCCGATTATAAAAGGGAAAAATATTTATAAAATTAAAAAGAAATGAATTATATTTAAATATATAAGGGAGATGAGAGTGAGGGATAACTCAAATGGTTATTAGAGCTTTTCTATAATTTCAAAATTATAAAAAGTTGATAAGACCCTACATGACTATATTTTACTTTATGTATAAGCGTGATGAAATAATGTAAAAGTCCAGTTGTTGCAATAATACTAGAACGGATGAAGTATTTAACATGTTTTAGATAAAATTTGCTTTAAATAAGTTATTTTAAAAATAAGGAAATTTTGTCTAGAATTACCCTAAATATAGGATCATTTGTGAACAACTATTTTTTTTTTTTGTTTTTTTTTTTTTGGAACTACCCACAAGTTACAAAACGTTTGAGTAGCACTACCCGCTAACGTTTTCCGTCCAATTAAGACGTTATTGAGCCCACTTTTTTCACTTTTCCCATTTAATTAACTCCCCTAATTACCTTCTCTCTCCTCCCTAATTAACTTCCCCTCCATTCTCACTCAAAAATCCAAAAGATTATACTCAATCAATTGAATACAAATTCTCAATTATTCAAGTAATGTTTCACACTTTCCTTTTAATTCATTGTTTATTGTATTTGTATACAAGTTTTAATTGAACGCAATTAACATAATTAGGGTGTAAATTAGGGATTCGGATTAGGGTTTATGGGTTCAAATAAATTTGGGGGGTTTTTGATTTCTAGGGTTTAGGGGTTCAATTGAGTTCTAGGTTTTGGTTATTTGACTTTGAGATTGAATTCAATTGCATTTTAATTACTAATTGGTCATTGCAGCTGCTAGGATGTCTACTTGACCATTGTAATTGATAGGATGTCTAAATTTGGGGGTTTTAATTTCTAGGGTTTAGGGGAAGTTAATTAGGGAAGAGAGAAAAAGTAATTAGGGGAGTTAATTAAGTGGGAAAAGTGATAAAGTGGACCCCATTAATGTTTTTTTGGACGGAAAACGTTAATGAGTAGTGTTACTCAAACTTTTCTTAACTTTTGGGTAGCTCTTAACAAATAAAAAAAAAAAAAAAAAAAAAAAAACGGGTAGTTGTTCACAAATGACCCTATCTTTAGGGTAGTTCTAGACAAAATTTCCTAAAAATAATTATAATCAAAGCAAAATTAATACTTCATATATAAATAGTGCAAAAAAATTCAAAGCGTGTCAATAATTATTTGAGACAAAGGAAGTATTAAATTGTTCTGATTATGGGCTACGATCCACAAGCAAGTAACATAAGGATACTCCACACCCTCAATTCTTTAATTGTTGGAAAATTTAACAACAATAAACCACCTTTGCTCCATTCTCCCAAAATGGACCAACCTTTAAATCTTCCAAAAATAGACACAAGTTTGTATTTTTTCTCCCAAATTAGACCAAGCAGGTCACTTGACTTGTTATACCAGGTTGCAATCCACGTGTCAAGTCCTTATTGGTTAATTTTTCTTTAAAAATATTTTGATAATTGATAAAAAATAATTATTTTAATTTTTAAAATCAAATAATTAAAAAATAAAAATATCCTCCTTAGTCCCTTTCCCCACCACTGCCAGCCCCACTCCCCACTAGCCACCTCTCCCCGGCCAACCGGCGGCCGACGCTTAACTGCAAGCAGCACCTCAACACACAAAAACCAATCAACCAAGATCAAATCCGACACCAAGATAAAATCGATCCCCTTTAATTTCTCTGATCCGATCTCCTCTAATCGGATCTCATTCTACCCAGAAAATCATCAATGGCGCTTCACCGCATCACCGCCTCGCCTTCTTCTTCTTCTTATCAATTATCATGTGGAACAATCAACCCATAATACCCATCGACAAACTCAAACTATACTTTAAAATTTGAATTTTTTTTGCTCAATTTATTTATGAGAAATTTATGAGGGTGATATCGTGTGGAACTTTCACAAGAATCACAACTATGCTTAATTGATTGTGGTAGGGATATTTAGCAATTGATGTTGATGATAAAGTGGGTGTGGAATTTATTTAACTATGATTAATTGCTGCCGGAATCTAAGTTTCCGATGACGATGAAATAGATTACTCCATCAAACTTGAGTTTTATAATTCTGATCTTGATGACAAGGATGAGTCATGGGTGGCTAGAAAAAGAAAGTTCCACGAAAGACGTCATGCTCAGCTCGCAGTGGGTGGGGGGAGGAGGGCTAGCAGTGGAGGGCTGGCGGTGGTCGGAGTTTTTGGTTTGTTTTTTTTTTTTTTAATTAATTAATTTATTTATTTATTTATTTTGTTTTGTTAATATTTTAAATTAAAAAGATAAATAAATGAAAAAAAAAGAAGTGACCGGTTATTTAGGTCATAAGTCAACTTGGTCTAATATGGGAGAAAAAAATGCAAACTTGTGTCTATTTTGGGAAGATTTAAAGGTTGGTCCATTTTGGGAGAATGGAGCAAAGGTTGGTTTATTGTTGTTAAATTTTCCTTAATTGTTTTGTAATGATAATATAAGCTTCAATTCCAATGCCCCTAAGAAAACCAAGAATTACAATATAGAAACAAAACTTATTAATTATTTAAGAAGTACATCAATTACATTTGCATTACATTTTATATTCTAAGGAGGTCACAACAACATGAATCACTATTGATGCAATCACAATTGTCTCCATATCTACCGGAGTAACCGGACTTAACTAAGCAAGCATCCAAACATGATTCATACGAGCAAGATGTTAGAGGAAATGGATACTCGGCACATACTTTTGGATCACCTGCATGAACAAAAATTTTAAAGGTCATATTTGTCTCAATACGTACTATTCATAAAATTACGTTTGGTCATACTTTTAAAAAGGTACTCCGTATATAAGGAAATTGAAGGAACAAGATAGGGAATCATGTATGATTTCTAAGCATCAATGCATGATGCTTAGAAATCATGAATAGAAGGAACAAGATAGGGAATCATGTAAGATTTCTAAGCATTATGCAGCAAATCATGAATTGTAGCCAAATACAACTAGTACTAACTGATTTGGAATCAAGTCTTTGTGAAATTGTGAGTTTACCTATATATATATATATATATATATATATATATATATATATATATATATATATATATATATATATATATATATATATATATATTTATATATATATATATATATATATATAAACTAGAATACAAATTATCAAAATTGCGCACAAAATTCTTTACATTCAAGAAATTCATCTGTAATTACTTGTTTTCATCATCAGAATCATCAATGGCTAAGGGATTTTTTGCTTTGTTCTTCATAATATCATTATTCTTGCTCCCATATGGTAAGTTATCGGATGATTTTTATTATTATTATTTTTTTTTTTAGAAAAATGGACGATTTTTATTATTAGATATATGTAAAAATTTAAAATCCTTGCTCATAATCAAGAGCATCACTAATTTAGATTTTTATTTCAAATGTTCTATGTCAGGTAGTGATTCATGTTGTTGTGACCTCGTTATAATATAACAACGTTATGCAATGTAATCAATGTAATTTAACAAAAAAAATTAAATTATAGACTATTTATAAAAAAAATTAACTATTTATAGACTGTACTATAAGAAGTCATAAAGGTACGGGTGAAAATCGATCCCAGTATCTCCTAGAACCGAGAGAGAAGTTTTAACCATTTGAGTTATCTCTCATTCTCATATCTCATATCTCATATCTCTAGATTAACAGTACAGAATGATTGTGAATTTACAATGTGAAATAACTATTGATTTGGAAGATCATAATCATGATTATATATATATAAGGATCAAAGAAGGGAATTGCATATGATTTCTATCTTCAAAAAAAAAAAATGTAGTAGCCTTGTCCTAATTAGTAATTATGTAGTATCATATTATAATTGGAAAGTAGCAGGGTTTTTGTGCATTTGCCAATGTATATAAATAGAATACATGTAAATCTAAATTGCACACAAAATTGTTTGTTTTCTTTTTCATTATAATCTATGGCTAAGAAATTTCATACTTTGTTCATCATATTATTAGTGTTCTTGCTACCATATGGTAAGTTATATATCTACGATTAATTGAAGTGTATTCTTAATATTAGAGCAACTTTTATGTAATTTTTGTAAAATTCTTGCTTAATTACAAGCATATCACTAATTTAATTTTTCATTTTCATTGGTGAATATTATTGTAATCAGGTATTATGTGTGGTAGTGGCGGTGGTCGACCAGTATGTTCTGAGTATCCAATTATTGTTACACCATGCAATATTAATATTTGTAAAGCTTCTTGCTTAGCTGAAGGCAGTAGATTTGATAATGGAGGTTGCATCAATTACTTTTCATGTTGTTGCGACATATCCAACATTGATGATACATCGTAGTACAATTCAATTCACTAGTAGAAAAAACATCATTTGATTGCTTGCTTAGGGTGTATTTATATTGAAGATGCAACAATTGTGATGTAATCTTGAATAATTAATGTTTGGCGCTTTGGTTTGAGTGTGTTCTATTAATTTGATTTTCACTTATTTTAACTAATTGAACTTGGAAAATGATATATATAGCCCTTAGGACTACATATAAGCATTAAAAATACTCTAAAAATGTTTATATTTGGAAAATCATGACAAATTCACACTAATTACACTAATTTATGCGTGTTTTTGTCTGAATTCCTAATTTTATACATTTTCCAAGAGTATTTTTAATGCTTATACATAGCCTATAGCCTAAGGGCTAATGGGCTATGTATAACATTACCCATTGAACTGATCTAAACCTTATTAAAACTTATTTTAGCTGTAATTTGTATTTGGGTAACCCTTATCAGAACTTATTAAACATGAACCGAACTTATCTGAACTTAGGACCTGTTCTCTTCAGCTTAATTTTAGTTCAGTTCATGATTGAACTCTATTCAGTTCAGTTTAGCTCTCAGTTTGTAAATCAGAATAAGCCCTAATTGGCTTATTACACCTGAAATACCTAATTAAATTCCATATACACTTAATGCTGTATGTTGACCTAATTATCCGTAATTGCGCCCATTTAGCCCAATAAATTCTATATTGCACACCTTAATACTATAAGTCGTTAATTTAACCCCCCTTGTGAAGACCCTAATGTATGAGAAATATAATTGGGGTTATATGTATGGGTGTAATTAGGGATATATGGGGTTAAATGAATGTAATTAAGGGTTGATATCTGGTTTGTACAACCGAATGAACAAATTATAAAAATATAATGAACATATAGCAAGAGGGCTCGTGAGTCGTGGCTACTTCCCCAACCTACCACCCCTTATCTATATCGACATTTATACAATAATTTATTATTAAGTCATGTTCACTTTATCTTATTTTTGCAGAATATAAATTATTTTTAATTTATTGAATTGAAATTATTTTTACAAAACTAAAATTATTTTTACGGATTAAAACTTTTTTTTTATTGATAATCTAGTATATTCGCTCCTTACAATGACTAATGTTAATGAACATATTTTTAATAAGGGAAATTGTTCCGTGTACCCTTAAGGTTTTACAAAATACACCGTGTACCCCTGAAAACTTTCAAATGCACCGTGTAACCCAGAGTTTTGTAAGAACTTGCACCAATACCCATAGACTCATATAACAAATGATAATTTTGTGAAATTGAGACCCATATAGACTATAAGCATCAAATTCTATTAAATTGTTACAGTGTAATGCTAAAGTATTTAATTATCAAGCAAACTTAATTGATAAATCAAATTCTAACAACTTAAAGTTTAGGATTTAGAATGATTGATGGAGTTCAAATTTTGATGTAATTTATGTTTTTAGGCGGTTTTACACTTTTACTCCATATACTACATATGAAGTACTAAAAATGAGTCAGTGTGTATGGGCATAATTTTAATTTCATAAGTCAATGATATGTGCATTTGTAAGACGATATGTGGTGCAATTTTATACAAACCTCAAGGGTACATGTATTTGAAAGTTTTCAAGAGTACACAATGCATTTTTCAAAACCTTAGGGATACACGGAACAATTTCCCTTTTAATAAACTAATACTACATCCGTTTCATGTTATTTGTCACAATTTGACCTAAAATGCGAGCGTAAAATATCTAATCGTTGCAAATAATATAAAGCGGAGGTAGTATTTCTTTTAATAGATTGAAATTATTTTTCTACGAAGTACAATATTACTCCGAATTATTTTAAGGTGAAGAAAACCCGACCTAGATTTTAATTAAATAACATGAAAATCCTATAGCACGAGAAAAATGGAATAAATTGCCCCATGAGAATTATTGGTCATGTTGACATACTAATACTATGCCAACCTCCTAAATTTGAGGCTAAACAAACCATTACATCACCCCCCACAATTCCTTGGATTTTGGAAGATTTGCTGTCTGAAAGATAGAGATGAAGAAATAAGGGGGAAAAAATTCATAGGATTGTGTAAAATCTGGGGCAAGATTAATTGATTGTATTGTATGATTAGCAGGGGAAGCTGGTAATAATAAGATCATACATCTTAATCTTCCCTTCTTCTGCATTGCCCACCAACTGTTTGATAAAATTCCCCTGTGAAAAAAATTCTATCAAATAAGTATGATTTTGATGATGGGTGTTAGATTATAGCCATGGATGACCAAATACAGATCCTTAGTAGGCGTAATAGCATGACTCCTGATGGGGGTTCTTCTTGGAATTATGGGTCTCAATCTATGCATTCGACGCGCTCCTCGAAACCTGAGAGGCTCTATAAAGTTTGGCCTGGGAACAATGTATGTGTTACTCTGTTTTGCTATGATCTTTTATGTTTTAAATGTTGTTATTCATTGTATTTTTGAATTTGGAAATGTGGGGTTTTCATGTTATTATTTAGTACATTTTGGTGTTAGCCATTTGATATGAATTGTGATCATTGCCTATTTTGATAGTTGACAAAACATGAAAAGTTTCCTGATTTTGAATTTGCATTGATGCTAAATTGCTAATTGATGGTAATTAGTTGAGCACTATATTAGCTTGACATGGGTATAAGTGTATGACATGCTAGGACTCGAAATTCTAGACATGGAGATTATGTGTTTACAACTTCACTGAAATCTCCGTGTACCTTTCACATAACAAATGCATATGAAAACATTTTAGGTGGACTTGTTAGCTAGTTCTTGTTGAAACTCTTATATTTGGTTCATTTGTGAGGATTGTATAGCATAGTGTTTTAAATCTCAGTTTTCTTACGTTTCTTTTCTCCACCAATATTTCTTTAGTGATGAGCAAGGAATTAATTAATATGTTGGATTGTTAAGTTTAAGACAACATTACATGAAATTAGAATAAAGAATCGAAGTAACTTAGGCTAAGCATGTGTCCACGGTCTGTTTGCTCAATTGATGTCATTTTTCCTGATTTTTATTGGCAATATGCTACTATGGGTGTGGAGCTGTTTCATGTGAATACAAGATTTGGAAGATCAAATCAAGGATTTTTTATCTAATTTCATTTTATTTGATAAAAGTTTACTGATTGGGGATAATAGTTTGATTCCTTTACAATCATGCTGGCCAAAGTGAATCATTGTTTACATGTGATGTTGTGTATCTTTAACTTGAATGAAAACTCTGTTTATCCTCCAAGCCTTTTTAGATAAAGTTGAGAATTTTGGTTGTATTTACTTTTTTACATTAAGATTGCCAAAACTATGCGAGGAGTAGCTTTGATGAACACCCCCCTGTTGTAGTGAAAGTTCCTGCTGATTAGGCAGCCTCAAAATGTTTCCTTGTTGCATGCCAGAAATTACAGGCTATTATATACGTTTGTGAGTGTTATATAGCATAATGTTTTCAACACTTTCTTATGTACTTTGTATATTTTTTACTCATTAACAATATGCCTGTTATGAGTAATCTGAGGGATTGAGGTGAAACTTGAAAGGTTAAGGAATTATTAATACGTTGGATTGTTAAATGTACAACAAAATTACATAAGACATAGTAAAGAATCAAAGCAACTTAACTTGAGCATGCTTCCATGGTCTTTTTGTTCGATTGATAATATTTTTTCTGATTTATATTATATTTCCTGATTTATATTGACAATCTGCTACTATAGGCACAGTGTTGCTGTATGTGCAATAATTGGAAGATCAAATAAAGAATATTTTGATCTAAAGTCATTTTATTTGACCAATAATTTACTGGGGTTTGAATCCTTTTCGATCGTTGCTAGACAATGCAAAGTGGATCAATGTTTATACATGATGTCGTGTAGCTCTAGTTGAATGAAATGCCTAAGCTATGTAAGGAATAAAATTGATTTACTTCCACTTGTTGCATGGCAGAAATTTCTTTGTGGTGGGAGATTGGTACTAGGTCCTGATGCGGGATCCTTGTATTTATCATCATTTTTGATAGGATTTCCAGCTATTACTTTCTGTATAAGGATGCTCGTTAGGATCAAAGAACATGATCCACTATATGGATATGGGGTGCTCACCACAGGTGTCATTCTCACTTTTATGGTACGTTTTTCTTTGATTGATTTATGTTATTTTGAGCAGTATTGATATATTTGTTAGTCATATGCAGTTTATGAACTTTGTAGGATTTGTTGTTCCTCTACATGACATCTGTTCGAGATCCAGGAATAATACCAAGAAACCATAGACCAATTGAAGATGAAGGTTCAGGTTCTTCATCAAGGGAATTGGTAGCAACTGGCAAGTCTGGTATTCTTAGGATTCCTCGCACTAAGGATGTGACGATTAATGGCTACACAGTTAAAGTCAAGTTTTGTGATACTTGTAGGCTTTACCGCCCACCCCGTGCTTCTCATTGCTCAATATGCAACAATTGTGTGCAGAGATTTGATCATCATTGTCCATGGGTGGGTCAGTGTATTGGACTAGTAAGTTAATTTCTATTATTCTTGATCATACAGATATTTGTGACGCTTTGATATGGTATTTTCTGAAGTCTCTGCATCAAAAAAAGGTTTTATCAAGAATATGTTATTTCAATTTTCAGCATATAAATTTTGAGAAATGATACTACTTATTCGTATGAAGCCAGATCTTACTGCAATCAGAATGGTAAATTTGTTCATTTGAATGCTCTATTGCATTTGCAGTTGTCTTTATGAAGTTTTTTACGATTGAACTTCCTGTAACCATTGGAAACACTATCATCAAAATCCTTCCCTGAATGATAGGACATCTCACTACTAAGACTTGATAAGTATCTTTCACGGCCTTAAAATGAATTTATTCTTAACTAAGTGTTGCCTGTAAATAACTTCGATCATTTACTATATAAGACTGCATGAGCTCTTTTGCATTGTCTTGTTTTTCCAGGTTCAAGTAGAACCCCTGTTTTAGCCTATATATATGACGGAAACAGTCTTCAACAATCTGTTAAAGAAATTATATTAATAGCAGTATGTAACATACAGACATAGACCAACCACCACTTTTTTGCCCCAGTGGGTTACATAATCTTACTAATGAACTGAATAAAAAAATCTGCTGCAGCAGCCTCTAGGTACAATCAGTGCCAAACTTGTACTATGTCAAAGAATGTTGATGATATGATTTGTTTCTTTCAGTTTCAGATTCAGGTTTCGAATGATTAATCACTTGAATATGGAAATCTGAATTTCTTTTTTTCTTTTTTTTCTTTGTTAAAAATTGATGCATGTATATGCCTGATCTTCCTTTTTAAGGTTTTCCTATGTCGTTTCTTGCTCTACCATCAGTATTATAATTTTCTCCTCTTTTTTTTTTTCAAACTCTTATCCTGCTACAAGTGTTACTAACTGGAAATCTCAATTTTTCTGCAGCGTAATTACCGTTTCTTCATCTTCTTCATATCTTCATCAACATTCTTATGTATATACGTCTTTACATTTTCATTGATCAATCTTCTTCGAAGAAGGAAAAGCCTCGTGCATTCAATGTCTCGTGATGTTGTTTCAGTCATTCTAGTCGTTTATTGTTTTGTAGCTGTCTGGTTTGTTGGTGGACTTACCCTCTTTCACTTCTACTTGATGTCAACTAACCAGGTGATGATCTTTACACCAAAATTATAATAAGTTAACATTTTCTGCTATGAGAAAGTATGAATTGTACAATGTTCATGCTACAAAGCCTTGAGGCTTTAGCACATGGGGGTATAACTACTTGCGCACACCCCTTTATTTCATACTCATTGGCTGAAGACTGTTATTTAGAATTTTAGACTCTTTCATTTCATCTCAAATCTCTGTGTTAAATGTGTGACAATTAAAAGACATAGTAGTACAAAAACATTCAAAGATTTCATAAAATGGTTGATGCTTGGAGCTCTTGAAGACATACTCGTGTCCAATTGTTGTAGTTGAGTTTGTTGGTTTCAATTTGCATAGATATGTACCAGAACTTAAGCATGTGCCTGGGTCTCAACATTTTAGGTCTCAATGTCTCATAACATTTTCACTACAATCTGATATATTTTGTTTTCCAAGGCAGACAACTTATGAGAACTTCCGGTATCGGTATGACAAGGGAAAAAACCCCCATAATTTTGGTGTGGTCAAGAATATTAAACAAGTCCTATTCACCAAAACGCCACCTTCAGCTATCAATTTCAGAGAGTTGGTGATCGTAGAAGACGTAGTTTTACCTATGACTCCAAGTGACAATGAAAGCTATACTGGATTCGGGAAAATTTCAGATCAGGATATGACACAAAGGCTAACGCAAAGTGGACGTTGGGTGCTTCAAAGTAATTTTCAGAACTTTAATCATGAAGATAGTGATGAAAAGTTGAAGAAGAAAGTAGGTAACCAAGACACTTCAACTGATCAGTTTCTATTGGCCCCAGGACAAGCTTCTGCACCTCAAGGATATCAAGCCACATCTCGAGATGCTGCTGACATGGCAAAGAAATCTGAGAATGTTGATGTTAGTTAAGGCTGCCATGTGCATACCCTGATTGTGAAGGTAATCTCAACTCTAACTTTATACAAACTTATAGTATGCAAGAGGAATATTAGCAAGGTAAACACCATTGACAGTTTATATCTATTGTAGCTGTATTTTTCTCTTCCAATGGAAAGTTGGGACTTATCTTCCTGATTACTGAACGAGTTTTTCCAAAAATTTACTGATGTGTCAATGCTAGTTCTTGAAATCTCTCAAATTCTTAAATTTTCACGCTCTTTTTTTTTTTTTTTTTTTTTTAGGTTTACAGCCATTATGTGGCATAGGGTTTTTTATTTATAGCCATAATATTCTAATATAAAATTAAGGCTCAACTAGCTTGCTTCTCAGTTAGGAATCTTAGGATGGAGAACATAACTAATTGATATCAACTATTAAGTATTAATGCATCTGAGTTCGGATTTTACTATATGTCTGCAGCATAACTGTATAATGCATCAAAGACCGAGAAAATTGATAGATGACTCTCATTAGGTAGTAAATTTGCACCTCCCAACCATCACAGCCGTCCAAAATACCACCTTGTACCTTAAGATACCACCATAAGAGATTTTCATCACACCTATCTTCTCCAGTCGATTTTTTTTTTTTTTTTGGTTGCATTTCTCAGAGATTTGCAGAACACTTCTTAAACAACTGCCCCATGAAGTATTACTCGGATATGCAAAATTTTGAGCCATTTCTGAGACAATATATAGATGCAGAAACTTCTTACCTACAACTTCCATAGATTTGATGCATTGATCATTACAAGATCTTCCATCATACCAGTATTCTAATTACTGATAATTGTACAATCATGCTCTTAGTATACGTTGTGCAATTTAGGCGAGTTGGTGACTTGGTGGAGGCGAGTTGGTGGAATGTATGTTGCTGACTTGCTGCTTTATATTTCTACTGATTTATATATGGTTTTAATTTGAGTGTTCTGCTGTATTAGCTAATTAGTTGATATGTATCCGCTTGTTAGTTACAGGTTGAAGCAGGTAATCACAACTTCATGGTTAAATCAAGTGAGATTTATTCTCATACATGGACCTCTAATGGAATCAGGCTCATGAATCGTTGTATATTGATGTACATAATCGATCATGAGGGGATTTTTCGTGATTTAGACAACGAAGGAAAAGACTGAAGTATCTATCATGTACCTATAAGGAGAAAGAGTGTAAAATTCTGTGTTCTGGTGGCACCAAATGTGTATTTATGTAAAAATTTACAGTGAAATGAGGTGTATCATTTTGTAAAATATCAGCAGTTTTACATTTACGAGTTTCTTTCTTTTTTCTTTTAGGTTTATTTTCAAATTTCCCTCTTTTTTCCTTCCCTCCGAGATAATTTTACCCAATTTGTATATTTTCATAAACTTAGAAATTTTAGTTAAGCTTTTTTGCCATGAAAAAAAAATGTGTTTATCATTATGGGGTCATGGAGGTGTTATAACTTTCTATTATTATAAGTGTATGTCAGTATGTGCATACTAGAAGATGAAACTAAAGTAATGATATTATAATTATCATCTCATACGAGTATAAGAATATAAGATATAACCAAAGTTTTGAATGTAAGTATGTAACTATTGTAGTTGATGAGTGCAATTTTTGTAATATGATCATACTAATATGGTATGTGTGCAAATATTTTATATAGGCTAAATTTAGATAAAGATAAATAAGTTCGGGAAAAATAAGTTATGATGAGTTTAGTATTTTCCCACACATTGAATTTTTTTATTTTTTTTTTTTTCTTTTTGACAATAGCAGAAGGACATACAACTTAAATTACAAATAATTAAACATGTTCATGCGGCAGTTCCTAGCAACGTCATTCGCCCTACTAATTGAAATTAATGTGAAAGTCTTTCACTGAAAGCTCTTCAATTCACTAAGGAAAAAAGGTCTATGATTTCGTCTCCAAATATAGTCAAATTTAACCAAAAAAAACTTGTCCTAAACCAAAATCTTACTTTGTATTATTTCACTTGTATATTCTTTATGCACTATTAATCAACAAAATCTCATTGTCTTGTATTTTTTCCTTACTTCAATCAACCAAACTCCACTACCTTGTGTTTTATATTCATTTTAATTAAGCAAGTCATACTAAGTCATTACATCTTTCCAAAAACTTGTGCAAAAGTCAAATAATGTAATTATTAATTGAGACGAAAACGTTGAGGAGTATATTTTTAAAAAATTATAAACTCGATAAAGTTTAGATAAATGAAAATCAAATGTATAATATCCTTTAAAAAATCATTATCAGATAATAATCTACTTCCTTTGTTAAATATCAGTAATTGCAATAAAGGGATATTATTTACTGATGAAGTATTATAAAACCTATAAACTTGGTTATTTGGCAAATCTACAAAGTAACATATTCACTTTTAAATTTAAACAAGTCAAATTCTTACCGAGTGAAACTTTAACTAGATTTTAAAAGATCATCGAGCTTAGCTCAAACACGAATAATTCTTATCGAGTTTATCATATTTGTAAATTTATTTATTTAGCGTTGTAGTGGATGCATGGTGAATTGGTGATGGTAGCAAAATCAACGATGAATTGAAAGGCAACCAAACCGCGTGAAGACAAATTCTAATATTGGTATACGGCAGCACGTATATTGGTCGGACCAACCAAAAACCAACTAACATGAATTCTCAAAATTTAATTATATATAATTTTATAATTTATAATTGCATAAAAAATGTATTTAACGTTGATATTTTTTTTTTTACAAGCAATGTTGATATTATAGTCTTAAATATCATAATCAATTAATTTTATATTGATAAAAAAATCCATAATCTACCCGAAAAACCGCGAGAAAATTGAAAGTTCCGCCATTTTCCAGCGTGGACTACGGCTACGTGCCAGATACCATTATAGAGAGAGAATATAAACAAGGAAATAATAAAATAAAGAAATAAAATAAATAAAGTCAGAGAATTTGGGAATTTTTCATTTTTTTCAACATTCTGAAAAGAGAAACTATTTTGCTGTTTCACAAGTAAAAGAAAGAGAGAGAAGACTCAGAAGCTCAGAAATTCGAAAGATCTAATCTTTTTGTTGGGATAATTTTGCTGGGAAATTTTGAGGGAATTTATTGATTTGTATTAATTTCTTTCTATTTTTTGAAATTTCATTGAATAGTGATTTTTCAAGAGAATTGAGTAATTTTTGTTTCCTTTTTGGTGGATTTTATTTGATATAATTATGAGGGTGATTAAAGATTGTTGCAGATGTAAGAAAAGGTAGAATTTTTTTGAGAATTTCTTGGGATTTCTGGGTTTTTTGGGGGTCTTTTGAAGCTTTCAATTGATGATGGCCACCAACAAACCCAAGAGGCTATTTGAAGTTTGGAGGGGCAATAATGTAAATTTCGTTTCTTCTCTATTAAATTTGTATTGTTGTACTTTGTTTATTTGATCTAATATTGAATTGGTTACTTCTCATTTTAACTTAAAAGTTCTGGGTTTTATTGATTATGTATCAATATGATGATATGACGATTTTATCTGTTTTTGCTTGGTTTATTTATGTTCAATTGATTATCATAAGCTGAATGATTTTATGATATTAATACTGGGTTTCATATGTTTAATTAAATGAAATCATGGTTGAATTGTCATATTACTAGATATTTACCTGTGAATTTTTTTTGAGGGAATTATGATCAGGCTCAGCTTTTTATTCATATTGTATGATCAGGGTTTAGTCTTGTGTTTCAATAACGAATTTATCAGGGTTTTTCCTAGTAGGGTTTATGGTTATTGATGCAAAGAGTAACCAGCAGTGCACCCAAATGGGATTTAAAAATCTCAGCTTTGTGCAAAAAGTTGTCTTGGATTGAATGAAGCAGTCTTTCTTTGGTAGTTAACTGCTAGATATTAGGGGCCCTTTGATAGGTATCGGAGGTCGAATCAAGGTCAAAGTGGAAGCTTAAATTCAGATAAGATCAGACTTGTGAATGTTTATAGGAAGAGAAGATCAGATGGGGGGAGAGAACAGCAGTTGACCTATGTGCTCTCAGGTTTGGGTTTAGCTAAGATTTCATATAAGGTTTGCTACTATCAAATTGGAAATTGATTTTGGCACACCCTTAATTGATTTGGCATACCCCTCTGTGAAAAGAGCATAGAAAATTGTGCTCTCACATAGGGGTGTGCCAAAATCAATTAAGGGTGTGCTAAAATCAATTAAGGGTGTGCCAAAATCATATCCCTATCAAGTCCTATATAAACTGGCATTGTACCAGTTCAAGGGGTAGAAGCGCATACATATAGACCTCCCAAACCCTGCTTAAGAATGGATTCACTTGGTGGGGGGCGTTGTGTATAAGGCTATTAGTACCCCTTAGAAATTAGATTAAGTCATGATCGATTTTGAATTGATCTTTAAAAGATAACTTTGGTTTTACTTTCTGAAAGATTAAGTAATTCTTGATAAAATTCCCATTCTTATTTTTGAAAGATCCAATGCTATTCCAAATGCTATCTAGTGCAAAAGCTGAAGTATGAACTTATTTGTCTCAAAGCCTCTTATGAATAGAATTGGAAGCATACCTGCTGATTGATATTCTTTTTTTGTGTTCATAGAAATTTCTCTGTGGAGGAAGATTGATATTTGGACCTGATGTGGGATCAATGTTTTTGTCGAACCTCTTAATTGCCGGGCCAGCGTTGACTTTTTGTATAAAGGTGTTTGTGAAGGCGAAAGACAACAGTAAATGGTATCCTGTAGCAGCAGTTGGACTATTCCTAACCTTTTTGGTAAGTTTTGTTTAGTGCTTATCCACACCACAATTCACACTGCTTCTATGTATATGTTTTTCCGGTGAAAAGCTTCAAATTTTATGTAAAGAATATAAGCACACAAGTTCTCCTAGCCTCCTAGGATAAGGTTGTTAAGGGCGAAGGAGCAGTTGTGAACTGATGAAGAACAGGAGGATGATATATCATTCCTCTAGGCTTCCTGACTCCTTGAGTCCCACTGAACGAACACCTATCTCTCAAGATCAAGAGAAATAGTTAAGGGAAACAAATTCTCCTTGCCAACCGGCCCAACCCAAAAGTTTTTAAAACTCATATAGTATTGCTAAAAGTAGAAATGATTTATGCAAGCAAAACACTCAGATAATCTAAGAACACCACTTAGTTTTTACTCATGCTGTCTTGTTGATTATAATTGTATAATCTGATCGTCAATGCACTCTCTTGCAGGACTTAATGTTTCTATACATGACATCTGGGAGAGATCCTGGAATAGTCCCAAGAAATTCGAGGCCCCTGAACCTGAAGAATCTGATATAACAAACCCTTCAATGGAGTGGGTCAATGGAAGGCACCCTCATTTAAGAATACCTAGAGTGAAAAATGTATTAGTGAATGGCTACACTGTTAAGGTGAAGTTTTGTGAAACATGCTTGCTTTATCGCCCTCCGCGTGCTTCCCATTGCTCCATTTGCAACAACTGTGTACAGCGGTTTGACCATCACTGCCCCTGGGTTGGTCAGTGCATCGGACTTGTAAGTAACCTGTTGTCACAAGATTGAGAATTTTTAAGCTTATATTATATTTTGTGTGATGTGTTTATTGGTTTTAATATTTTGATTTGATGTTATGCTTCCCTTAATCTAACCTTCTCAGAAAAGAGAAACAATAAATAGGGTTAGTCACTAGGCATGGAATATTTTTAATGCAAATTGATTCTTGAGTTGGATAACGGAGGGTTGTGATTTGTGTGATTATGAATCAATGAGCATCTTCCATTTCGCCTTTGAAAACCATCCATATGATAATTAGCTAGATATGCTTTTGATCCATATGCATGTAGCCATGCATGTTTTTTAGTGATTATTTTTTTCCCTGGGCATCTGATTTGTAAAACATCCATCTATTTATAATTATGTGAATTATAAGGGTTTTCTAACCCCATGCTTCTGCAAACCCCCATCTTTAAGGTTATATTTGACTTTTTTTTAACTGCAATGTCATAGCAGTCTGACCCAGGAAGGTTGATGCCTTGATGGCATTAGCCTGAATGAAGTGCCTTCTAATTTTTTATGGGGATAAGACACTGGCCTGGTTTAATGGCTATGGAAATAAACTGACTTTATGATAATGGAAATTATGGGGCGTTGGTCTTTTACTCGTGGCCCTTAGAGTTGTTGCCCATGCAAACGTATTTGAAAGTTCATGATTCATACAGGTAAACTGTTTGTAATGTGTTGCCCTAGCTAATGCACCTCAGAATCTAAAGCATGAGTTTCATAGCTTTACAAAAAGGCTTCTTTTAGCAAATTGTTGTAGCAAAGAGATGGAGCTAGAGTGATATTAAAAGATGTGCCTGACACAATTAAAATGGCTAACAAATGTGCATCTGTTCATTATCGTTTTTACACATGTGTATGTAGCTATAACATCTTTCTTGGTTTTGCAGCGGAACTATCGTTTCTTCTACATGTTCATACTTACGGCAACAATCCTGTGCTTATATGTTCACATATTTTCTTGGGTTAGCCTAGTGAACGAACCAAAGGGTCTTTTGAAGGCTATGGCACACGATATCCTCTCAGTTGTCTTGATTGTATACTGCTTCATAGCTATCTGGTTTGTTGGAGGCTTAACTGTGTTCCATTTCTACCTTATGAGCACCAACCAGGTAATTTCCAGTTTAAGTGTTTGTAACCTGATTTATTCTTATAGCTTCCAAAACCTCAATGATTGTGAAAGTAAGATGCTCAATTTAACACTTTAGATTCCAATGTACAATAAAGAGAAAATATAGAAATGGATAAAATAAAATGGGAGAAGAGATAAGAAAGGTAAACTGAGGTTTATAATAGTCTTACTCAAGAGTCGTATCAAGTAGAATCTGTATGTGAAATGAAGAATTTAGTTGTATAATGTGCCTCATTATGCTGGGAATAGCCTGTATGCTTGAAACATGTTCATATTGACAGGATTAGTGCCATTATTGATTTTTGTCATGAATCTTTAACTGAAATGTTGGCTGATTCATTATTGGATCAAGTCTTATTATATACCTCTTTGTACATGTGCAGACAACTTATGAAAATTTTCGCTACCGGTATGATAAAAAGGAGAATCCTTATAATAAGGGGATACTCCAGAACTTTAGAGAAATCTTCTTCACTCGACTAGCCCCTTCATTGAATGATTTCCGGGCAACTGTGTCTGAAGAAGACCAGGTACCGGACAAACGGATTCATGTTCACCCATCTTTTCAAACGGATTTCAGCTCAAAGGAGAAAATAGACATTGAAGCAGGTGATAAGCATCATGATGAAGAAGATTATTCACTTCCTAAAATTTTGCGCAATTTAAGTTATGATTATATGGAAGACAATGTTAAAAGCAAGAATAGTGGAGAAGGTATGATTGCAGACCCTTTTTTGGTTGATGATGAACCGAGAAAATTTTTGCATAACTCCCTCGCTGAAGATGAGTTTGGTGAAAGGATCTACCAAAGAAGTAGCTCTTATGGTGCTGCACAGCCTAGCACACAAGAACCCAGGTGCTTTGTGATTACCTTACTTTACTATGTTCATAATTTCATACTGTACATTGTTCTGCTTTTTTTGTTATTTCGGGCCTCTAGATTTCCCAATTCTGGCTAATTATCTAATAATTTGACAGCGAACAAAGAGTGAATATCGGTAGTGTCTTTACTTGTTGAGTCTAACTATTGTTTGGTCATTCAAATTATTAGACATTTCAACTCTTTTTAATTTGCTAACTAATTAGGCAAGTAGACTTCACTTAATTGGATCGGATACTGTTTGATGTATTCCATTTACAACTCTTTTTAAAATATCTGACCCTTGCTGAGCTAGTTGCTTCACTTTACATAATATCTTGCTTGTCTAACCAATGTTTTATGTTTGCAACTCTGTATAACAGACGTGATCATCGCCCATCTGTATAGCGGAAGACTGATGTCAGCTAAAGTGTTGATGTTTCGGCCATGAAAGGTCTGATTCTTGTGAAGTTCAGAATAATATTGCACATAAAAACATTGAGACTCGGTGGTGCTGTGGTGGAGCAATAGTCGAGCTCCAAGGAAATGACACAGAATTTCCCCCTTATTTTGCCTACAAGAATTTCCAAACATTCTATGTACTTGAGATTACATATTGTAACTTCTTCTTAGCTTTTTTTTCTCTCTTTTTTTCGTTGGGGTTTATAGTTTTGTAGGGTTTGAAGAGCTGACAATTGACAGTAATGCATTATTTTCATAGAGTTGCTTAAAAAATGTACCATTCTATTACACTGCTGTCTTCGCACAACTGTAAATTATTGACAAATAGTTTTGACCCTTATACAGTATTACTTGAATTGGGTTGTTTAATCTTTTAAATAGCTAATAGTCCTTCAATTCATTGTCTGTATATGTATCAGCACATTATAATTTGTTTTTAAAAGGTTATTGGGTAAGTGACAATTTTCTATGTACAACCGGTTGTGTCATAAATTCTGGTTTTTATCTTTGTTCATCTTCTTGTACCTTTGCGAGCATTGAGCCAAAAAAATGATTGCACCATGCTTAACTTTTAATTTGTGTATAGCGTACAACAAAACTAATACATGAAGAGTATTGAGAAGGCGATAATGAAGATTAATGAGAAGTACATGGTAACACTTGTATCTCATACTCAGGTACATGTACACCCAGTATATAATATGTACATACCCTATTTAGTATTTACCTTTATTCACCGTGGCTCCATACAATAAGAGCATATATAATTAAAAGTAGAGATTTATAGAAAAATATAAATAGTGATCGTAAATCAAAGTGTCACATTTTTTTTTTTTTTTGAGGGAGGGAATCAATCAAAGAGTCACATTTTTGTTATCCATGTATGAAATTATCAACCAAATTCAATTATAGAGGACAATACATTACAAACCATAAAACCTCCAAAAATCTCACACAATTACACAAATCAAATAGAGCAAGAAGAGCCACATATATATCAAAGCCAAGTTGGAACACCCACAACCCCTAAGTCCTTAACCCATCAAAGAAATCAAGCCAACCCATCACCACATGACACGTTGCAAACACCCACTTCAACCTCTAGATTTCATTGGATCAGATTCATTACCCTCAAAATTTCCCAAAAAAAAAATGAAAAAATAAAAATTATAAAAATAAATAAAACACTTTTATAACAATCCCAAAACTCCCACCAATATTTTATCCTCCTTCTCTAGCACAATCCTCAACAATGGCAGCAGAAATGGCACTCCTAAAACCCATTTCAAAGTTCAGCCCGAAACTAAGCCCAAGCCCGATAACCCGACCCGGAGCAAAAAGCTTCAGAGTATCAATGTCCACAACATCAATGCCCCCAAAAACATCAAAAAAGGGGAATAAGAAGGAAATTCAAGAAACCCTTTTAACACCCAGATTTTACACCACTGATTTTGATGAAATGGAGCAGCTTTTTAACACCCAGATTAACAAGAACCTGAATGAATCTGAGTTTGAAGCACTTTTGCAGGAATTTAAGACTGATTATAATCAAACTCACTTTGTTAGAAACAGTGAGTTTAAGGAAGCTGCTGATAAGCTTGATGGGCCTTTGAGACAGATTTTTGTTGAGTTTCTGGAAAGGTCTTGTACTGCTGAATTTTCTGGGTTTCTTCTTTACAAGGAGCTTGGTAGGAGGCTCAAGGTATTTTATTTTTTTTAACTTAATACCTTCCGTTACATATTATTTGCAACTATTAGACATTTTTCACGGAGATGTTACTTATTTTTATGTTTTTTTGATGGATTAAGTTGGTTGTTTGTTTAATTGTAAGCAATTTTATGTTTTGTTGTGGTGGGGTGGTACCCGTAATCAAATTTCGTCTATATCACTTCATATGCTAACTATAGTGACTAACACTATTTGGGTTATTAGCTCACTTGTGAATTATTTATAAGTCATGTTATATATCTTGAGTCAAATTCCGTCTATATCACTTCAAATGCTAATTATAGTGACTAATTATGTGGGTTATTAGTTTACTTGTGAGCAATTTTAAGTTGTGTTATATTTTAGTCTACATCGCTTTGCATGTTGACTATAGTGACCAATTAAGTGTGTTTACTAAAGTTTACTTGTAAAGTTGTAAGCAATTTAAAGTCGTGTCGTGGGATAGTATATGATGTTAGATCGAATTTTGTCTATATCACTTACTAGTATGATGATTCTCTATTTATAATTGTAGAGAATTTTGTTTGTGGGCGTCTATATTACTAACAGGAGTAACAACCATTGTGGCTCGATGTCAGTTATGTCACCAAAAACAAAAACATAAAAATTAGAAATTTATAGTTGTAAACTAATTGTATTCAGTTTATAATTAGGTGTTTGTTTGGTGGTTTTTGAAGTTTAAGTCTAGTAATTTTGGACTTGTGATTTACTGATTATCTAGCTCAAAAAAGTGCAAATAGGAAACTTTTTCAGAGGAAAATCAAAAAGTAAACAAAAAATTGAGAAAGGGCCCAACCGGGTTCGAACCGGTGACCTCTTGATCTGCAGTCAAATGCTCTACCACTGAGCTATGGACCCTCAGTGTTTACTTTATGCTAATCTGTATATTTAAATCAAATTATTGCACTAATATAATCTGCATGATTTGAAATTATGACAGAATTAGTTATTCTAGTGTAAGATATTGTTGTAACAATGTGACATATTGATATTTGATGTCCTTTAATTTTGCAGAAAACAAATCCAGTGGTGGCAGAGATTTTCTCTCTTATGTCTAGAGATGAAGCCAGGCATGCTGGGTATGTTTTCGCGACTCTTTACCTTAAAAACTTCTCCAATGCGTTCTATTTGTACAAAACTTTGATCATATTCACGAGTTTCCAATACATTGCGGATGGTCCTTGTGGATGTTATTGCTGTGTGATTTCAGCCTCTGAATGTTAATTAGGTACCAAAAGTTTTTCACCTGAACTGTTTATTAACTTGTGCAGGTTTTTGAACAAGGGTTTGTCAGATTTCAATCTGGCCTTGGACTTGGGTTTCCTGACCAAAGCTAGGAAGTACACATTCTTCAAGCCAAAGTTCATCTTTTACGCGACATACCTATCAGAGAAGATTGGTTACTGGAGGTACATTACCATTTACAGGCACCTTAAGGAAAATCCTGAGTACCAGTGTTACCCCATCTTCAAGTACTTTGAGAACTGGTGCCAAGATGAGAACAGGCACGGAGATTTCTTCTCTGCTCTCATGAAGGCGCAGCCCCAGTTCCTCAATGACTGGAAGGCCAAACTCTGGTCCCGTTTCTTCTGCCTTTCGGTAATCATCACATTCACAAGTTATCCCTTTGCTATATCTACTTTTACGCTGTGGGATCTGAAAACAAGCACTCAATTATAGGGGAGATTGGACTACAAGTACTGAAAGTCTGTAATGATACCATTTATTTTAAACTTCTATATCTATGTTTGTCGCAGGTTTATGTGACCATGTACCTCAACGATTGCCAAAGGACAGCATTCTATGAAGGCATTGGGCTCAACACCAAAGAATTTGACATGCATGTCATTATTGAGGTGAGACGATGAAATTGTATATTGCTTTTGTTCTCATGTACATTCTATCTTCCTCACATTTGAATCTTGGTGTTTGGTATATGTCTTCAAGTGTCAAAATTGATGAGTTACAAAAAAAGTTCCACGTTTTTTTTGGTCCAAAGAAAATGTTAAAAGTTTTTGTGCCCATGTCAGGGTGTTAAAATCTGACAGAGGTACTCGAGGTAAATTTAAGTGTTTTATTGAAAAGCAAACTTAAATGTAGTTTGCTTATTTAAAGTACAAAAATGAAGCTTGTTATTTTGTTAACTTCTTGTTTAACTACTTCTTTTCAAACGCTTTTCTACTATAATCCAATTATCTAAGCTTATTAGGCTTATAGCTGCGAATTTCTGATACCCTGTAGACCAGAGGACCCATTCATATTCAGTGATTCTATTGTGCTTGTGAAAATAAGAGATTGAATTTCTGATGCTTTGGTTTTTTGCAGACCAACCGCACTACTGCCAGAATATTCCCAGCTGTGCTAGATGTGGAGAACCCAGAGTTCAAGAGGAAGCTTGATCGAATGGTGGAGATTAACCAGAAGATCATTGCTATTGGGGAGACTGATGACATCGGCTTTGTGAAGAATTTGAAGAGGATCCCATTAGTTGCAGCACTGGTTTCAGAAATCTTGGCTGCGTATCTGATGCCACCTATTGAATCTGGTTCGGTTGATTTTGCAGAATTTGAGCCACAGCTTGTATATTAGTCTTCCTATGTACTACTGTATTGTGTTCCTTCTAGTAATCAATACTCGAGGATGACTTAAATTGCTATTGCCAGAGAACAGAAAATCTGTAACAGTATGTAAACTTATAAATTGCAGATTTTGACATTTCAGCAATATCCCTAATTCCATGTTTGATAATTTTTGAAGTCATAAAAAAAACTAGGCAGTTGCGGGCTTTCATATATGAAGAATTTTACCATAATTTGAAATTTTGATGAATTACTTGGTACAAAATAAGAGACAGTGATCTGCAAAGTCACATGAATTTAATTATGTTTTGGGTGCATCTACTCTAACTCACCCTTTAAAATACTTAAACGTGCCTAAGTATCGGATAAAAGTCACCTTTCAACAATATGACTGATCAGCAGTCACTAGATCAACACTGTATCAAAATATACAAGTATGACCTCTTGCATAGAAAATTTGCTAGTCTTGCAACCAAAAGCCAGCCAACGACTAAATGGTTGAGACATTGAGCCATAAACTATGGCTAACAGATTCTCAGGTGTTCCACATTAGAGAAATTGAGGCATAACTGCTACTAAAAATAAATCAATACAATATATCAGCAGAGGATGACAGGCTTCTGATAAGCAGCGAAAGCTCCTTTATTGGATTTGAGAGGGTTAATTTGTACCGTCATTGAGTTTGAAATACACACCAGAATCTGTAGATGGAAATCGATGAGGATGCAATTGCAAGTTACTTTCTTGCATTAATAAACTCAAGATAAATTTACAGCTAGTTTTAGTGGAAGTGATACAAAAGGGAAATGTTCCCATTCATGCTACTCTGTATGTATTTAACAATTTCCATAATTTTCTATCTTCATATCTAATTATGTACCTGTGCAAGGAACAAAATACACACACAAGGGAATGAAGAAAAAAATAAAACATGTTGAGATTCAAAAATCATTCTGATTTAGGCTTTGTGTCCGGCTCTTCTATTGCTTTCGGAAACAACACGATCCATACAGCCAAAAAATTGTCGAGATTGTTCTGAAATCAATCTGATTTTGGCTTTGTGTCGGACTCTTCAATTGCTTTCGGAAACAACACCTTGAAGATCCATACAGCCAGTAAGGTTGCCTCAATTGGAGCAAGCCAATAAACAAAAATGTGCTCCTTAGTTATGTAGTCACCACGAGCATAAGCCCATCCCATCACCTACATAGGCAAGCAGCAAAATTGACAGTAAAAAAAGAGTTCAGAAACTGAGTTTATATAGCATACAAGACAGAGACCATATATATGGTAAAGATACATACAGATGCCGGGTTCATGCATCCACCAGTTAAGTCTGAACCAAGAACGTGGAGTGTAAGTTTCGAAAGGCTAGAAATCCAGGTTTTCCTCACAAAACTCCCAGGAATGCTTCTTGCTAATGACAAAGAGATGAAAACAATCATAAAGGTTAGGACTCCCTCAGTCAATGCGCCTTGATGGATGTTGACATTCAGTTTTGGTCCGTTGCCAATTTCAGGAAACATATGAGTTAAGAGCTTAACCCCATAAATGGCTCCAAGCACCTGAAATGGAGAGGAGTAGATTAATATGATAAACTATAAAATATGAAAAAGACCAACTATCCTACCCAAGTAAGGCAATCACGAAAAAAAAAAAAAAACAAACAAACAAACAATTTGAGAAAAGGAAATTGCCATACACCTTATCTACCGGAGTAACTTATAAGGCATACAGTTCAAAACTTCAAATAACAGTAAATTTTGATTTCAACTCGAGTAGTAACAATGGAGCATTTCCAAACCACATAACAACCATTATAAAGACCAGCCATTAAACAGTACCTGCACCTCATACAATGCGAAAATAAAGTTCTCCAAACATTTAAGTTTGAAGGACTATAAAATCAATCCAGGTTCTAAACAAGATTTGCTAAATGTCTTTACTTGTATGATGAAACAACACAGTTATAAGATCAAAACATCATCTGCATCAACATTGTCCCAAATTCCCAATGATCCTAAAAAGGCTCCCACCAAAATCCAGGAAAATTGGGGGGCAGGGGGTCAGATACTCAGATATACATGGTCTAATCCCTTCATAAACTCTGTTAGAACCTTAACATGAAAATGCATCCAATTTCCCACTTGTTCACAAAACACGGTCTAATCCCTTTGTAATGCCATTAGAACCTTAACATAAAAGTGCATCCAATTTTCCCTACTTTCACAATCAATAAAAAGTACATAAATTGTGAATCTGTGATGCACAATCATGATATAAAGCGAAATTAAATATGAAGTGAAAGCAAACCCTCTCAACATTAAACTCTACAAGAAAAAGTAAAATACTTTTCCATAATAAGAATTCACTTAATTATTAGTCAATTTGAGGATGAGTTATGAAGACAAAAGGACAATTTTCAAAGCCAAAGGTTTTCGGAGTGTCCTTATTACTATGCTAATTTCGCGCTTCATGCAATCAAGCACTTTCCTATTTAGTCCCGACAAATAAAGATCCCTTCATATAACAACAATGCTTCATATAACAACAATGCTTCATATACAAGCACAATGATCTTGCTTCGAATACAAGCGCAAATGCAGAACGACATCATACCGAAAAGAACGTGCACACAAATAACAACATCAATTAAGTACTCAACTAAGTGTTTTTAAGGTCCTAATTCTAATAAAATCAAATCTTTCTCATCTCACAAATCTCAATCTAGGACATATTCAACCATTGACAAAAACATCAAATCAATATACTGCACAACAAATGAAGATAAACTACAATCTTAATGTCACATAATCACTGATTTAATAAAAAAAGACCTCAAATTAAACTCAATCAAAGTCAAAGTAAGATCAAATTAAAGCACAAAACTTTACAATTCTAGCAACAATATAAAACAAACCCATCACAAATTACACAACCAAATAAACCAAAAATTAAAAAATCTCAATACTCATTAACTAATTTAATTAAATTAGCTGAAAATTTGGTTTAAAAAAAAAAATTATACCTGAGCAGGAATTCTTGCACCAATGATGAATAAAAATCGACTAAAACCCCCAGAAATAGCGCCAGCCAGAATATTAAGAGGATTATAAGAAGCACCTCTCGCAAATTTAGCCAAATAAGCGAAGAAGAACAAATTGAGGACAGAGAAACACAGCTTCACAATTTCTCCAATAAAATTATGTTGAAATCCCAGAAAATGGAAGACAAAGATTTTGACAAGAACACCAGAACATACCCACATAAATGACAGCACGAAATCCGAGATTAACAACGACCCATTTCTAGTTTCTCCCATTTTTATGTAAAAAAAAGTATTTGATCAATAGGCTTTTATGGTAGTGTATCTCTCTCTATCTTTGGACTTTCAGAACAGAAAATGTTCTGTATTTTGGCATATCTTCAAATTATATTTTGTTTGGGAGGGAGTGGTTATGGTGTGCCTGGTTAAAATTTAAAAAAAAATACAAAAATACTTTATTTTTTCCATTTAAATTAGTTATATTTTGAAAATACGATAATTACAAATTTTCAAATTACTTACAATGGTCGTGATATTTTTTACTCACATTTTTTACGTCAAGAAAAATACTATACATAAGTCTGTACTCTTCAGATTATTTTCAGTAATAAGTTTTGTTCAATTTTTAATTTTTTTAATGCATTTCTAAATTAATACTCTTATAAAATATATAAAGAAATCAAATTAAGAAATGTATTAAATATTTATTTTTAGCCCTAAGTAAGGGCTACAAGCCTACACATATTATTATTACCCTTATGTCAAATTGTTGCATTGTCAATAAGGGAAAATTAGGAATTTCACTTACTTGAAATGAGAATGGAACCCGATGGAAAGAGGAACTCTAACCACTAGATTGATTTTGAAATATGTCCATAAATTTAAAATAAGAAGTACTCCGTACATAGTATAATTGTATTTTGTGTAAGTGTATAAATACATATGGTAGGACTGTATGAGCTTAATTTATTGGTCGTTATTTGGCGGCTTATGTAGCAAATTTGCAAGTAGCCAAGTTGGAAAGTGAGCATTGGGCTGACATTGACATTAATGTTACACTAGGGAAAGGAATAAAATTAAAATGGAATCTTTTCTATTTTTCAATAATGCTTACCCAGCTAATTACTATAGTTTTATCACCAACAAAGAATTCTCCTTTACTCATACTGTATAAATGTATAATGTGCATATGTAATTTATTAAATAATGAGTTGGCTGTAAAATAAAGTAGGATGATGTAAAAAAACATAAAACATACTCCCTCCGATTTTTAAATACTTGCTCTATTTCTCTATACGAACGCAGGGTTTTAGAAGAAATTAGAGAATGTAATAAAATATAGAAGTAGTGGGGTAGGTGAAAGAATTTAAAAATTCTAAATAGCAAAAGCTTCTACATTCACTACTAGAATTTCCGTGTTTTTGCAACGCTTTATAGGTTGTTTTTGGATGCAAACTTTATCAATTCTAGCAACAATATAAAACAAACTCATCACAAATTATACAACCAAATAAACCAAAAATTAAAAAAACTCAATACCCAATAACTAATTCAATCAAATTAGCTAAAAAAAATTGGTAAAAAATTATACCTGAGTAGGAATTCATGACATAAAATTACATTGAAAAGATAAATTATACCTCTGTCCCTTATTGATAGTCTCTTATGGGCAATGTTCACGGGAATTAATATACATAAATAAGAAGTACTCCCTCCGTTTTTAAATACTTGCTCCATTTTTCCATGCGCGGAGTTTTAGGAGAAATTGGATAAAGTAATAAAATATGGAGGTAGTGGGGTTGGTGGAAGAATAAAAAATTAAAAAAAAAACAAAAGTAGTTAAGAGAATTGAAGGAGACATAATATGGAATTAATATGGTTGGGTCCACTCGGTGAGAGAAATTAATAAAATATTGTAAAAACTTTCTAAATAAAGAAATGGAGCAAGTATTTAAAAACGGTCAGAAAAAAAAGTGGAACGAATATTTAAAAACGGAGGGAGTAGTAAAAGTACATTGAACAGATAAATTTACATTAGGTATGTAAAAAAGTAGAGAGATAAAGTAATAAAAGTACATAAAAAACCAAAATTTACATAAGAAAGTTAAATTTGCACAAATATTGTTGCAAATTGGAGAAATTTTGATAAAAAAATTAATTTAATGGTACTTAAAAAAAAGCAAATGTGACTATCATTTTGAGACTTAAAATAGCAATAAAGGACGGAGAGAGCGAGTATGAAAAAATTAATACTATGTGCCCATGTCCCCTTTTGTACTGTATTAGATAAGGTTACTATCAATTATTTCAATCAAAATTATACTGAATGAAATAACATCTCAAAAATCATATTTTTGTTATGTGGACAAAATAATTTTGGATGATTATTACATCATTTGCATGGACTGGGAGAGGTATTAGTTGAAGATATAACGGCTTTAGTTAGCTAAATGTAACATTTGAATATGGTGAGAACACCCACTTGTTATTATGCTTAATAAATAAGAATAGTTGCACACATAATTGATAGAGAAATTAATAGTACTCATAATTCATATTTTAGTTGTGAATTTGTGATTATCTGTGAATGGCATTGTGTGATGGTGAACTTTTAGGAAAATGAAGTATGTAGTAGCAACTAGTAATATTTTACGAAATTGGTTGCTCATATCATACCTCTATTAGATATCTATCATATTTTCTTAAATTGGGCTCACCTCAAGTTTGTGCTAGCTAGGATAAGCTTGAAAATATAAAGCCCAATAAGCTTAAATGTGAGTTTAAGCCAGTGCAAAACAAACTGAGCTAACCTTAACTCAAGCTCAGATTGTTATTACACTTCTTTACAGAGTATAAGATAAGGAGAAGGGTCTTACAGGTCGGAACCTCTTATATGTCAATCCCATCTGAGTTAGCGAGTTAGGTCCTTTGAAAGTGGGGGAATAAGGTAAAGGAATTCTCACTCCAAAGTGCCTTAAGTGGGGTTTGAAGCCTACATTCTCTTGGTTGTGAGATAACAAACATTGTTACACTATTCATCAGTATTAACTAAGTGCATCAAATATTATACAAATGCTTAACATGGAGTAATTATCTTCTTAGAATATCACCGTTGGATTACTTCATAATTATAATCCCACCAAGAGAGTTGTGTTTTCATCACACTCCCAAAAAAAAAAAAAACATAGTAATTAACTATTTTTAGAAATAAAATTGATAATTGTGGATAATATGATTTTTGTAATACTAAAGTCAAGGTTTGTACACTTAATTTAAGAGCATTTTTAGCAATAACTTTTAAAGTAGCTTTTAGTGTATTGTCTCCACTAATTTCCGAATATTTGTGGTGAATAATGTATTGTAACTTCTAAAATACATTTGACAAAACTTGTAAAACCAACATCAATTTTTTTATTTTTTGACAAAAGCGACAAGATTTAAGGCCTATTCATCTCAGCTTAATTTCAGTTCAATTCATCTCAGCTCCAATCAGTTTAGTTTTGTTCAGTTCAACTCCTAATTTCTTTCTCTCATAAAATATTCATTTCAACTCTATCTAGTTCAGTTCAGTTTAGCTCCAATCAGTTCAGTTCAGTTCAACTCGGTTCAGTAAATGTGAACAGGTCTTTATTTTCATAACACCTTCTCTTTCCTATATATAATTGACTATCCAAAATCTCAACATTTTAGTTTGTGTCGAATATCTAAACTAGACAACAACTTCAGCAAATACTAGTCGACAATTAAGAGCAACTACATAGTAATATAACAACCAATTTCAGCGTTCAAAATCACGAGAAAAAATAAATTGCAAAATGTCAAAAAGACGTTCAAAGATATGCAAATTCAAAATTGAATAACAGGGTTACAAAAACTTCTACTTTGTAAAATGAATTAGGCTTGAACATTTTGTTTAGAGTAAAGTAAGAACTATCCTACCAATCTAAAACTTCTCATAAGTCAACTCGACCCGAATTAGCAAATACTCAAACTGAGAAGACATTTAGAATGGAGGAAAGAGTTATGTTCTGTTCTGTTTTACTGAACTGAACTGAATATTTTACAACAGAAAGAATTTAGGAACTATACTGAACTGAATTTAACTGATTGAAGCTGAACTAAACTAAAATTAAATTGAATAGAACATACCTTTATTCAATTAGGTTTAGACATGGTAAGTTGATAAACAAGTGGGAAAGAAAAGAAAGAAGATGCACTTCACTTTCACATCACTTGATACTATAAATGGCGCCACATAACCACATTATCCCAAGTTTGGGCGTAAACTCGTAAACGTAAACTCGTAAACGTAAACTTCTCTCTCGTTTTCCCCAATTATGTAAACCCAAACCCTAACCCTAATTCCTATCCTTCTCTCAAATTTCAATCTTCTTCATCCAATTTTATCACTGATACTCCTCCAATCAACTTGTTCTTCAATCAAATTCTCCTGTGTTGCTCTCCAAATCGCAGTATTCCGTGGATTTTCGCTGAAGATTTCTCTAGTTCGTCGCTGAATCGAAGAACTTTCAATTTTTGGGCTATTTGCAGAAACTTATCGTGTTTTTCTGCTGTTTCATCTGTTATCAGAGGTTCTCGCGCCGGAGATGTTACGGTTTTCGAGGTTTGTGAAGAGTCGGTGTCTTCGGTGTTGATGATTTCTCCTTTTTCATGAAGGAATTCTGGATTTCTGGCTTCGATCTGTGAGATCGTATCGTATCGGTTCAATCTATGATTGATTGGATCAATATCATCTAATTGATCTTCTTTGAAGCTGGATTTTGCTTCTATTAATTCAGAATTCAAGAATTGAGCTGTTGTAGCGGCGGCAGTGGCTTTCGAAGGACTTCGCAGCGAAGAAGTATACTAGGAGAGGAACTGAAGGCGGCAAAGAGATAAAATTTTTACTTTGTACTTTGTTAATTTTGAGTTTGAAGTTCAATTAGAGGCCTTTATTTTTGAATTTGAAGGCCTCATAATATCCGTAGTTAGGGTTTTTGATTGCATTTTTGTGCGATATAATTTTTGTTCGATTGATTGATTTCTTTTTGAAGGAAAGAAAAGTGAAAAAAAAATTAATTATGGCAGTTTATTATAAGTTTAAAAGTGCTAAAGATTACGACTCAATTTCAATCGACGGTCATTTCATATCGGTTGCCAATCTAAAAGAAAGAATTTTTGAATCAAAGCATTTGGGAAGGGGTACTGATTTTGACCTCGTCGTGACCAACGCTCAAACCAATGAAGGTTGGTTGATTTCCTGGTGTAGCTTATAAGTTGAATTGAATTGCTTTCGACCAATTTTAGTTTGAAGTTTTTGAATTGCATTCTTGCTCAATTTTGAACCTGTAGTTGTGTAAGCTGTTATTTCTTGGGGATTCGAAACCGGCTTTTAGGTTTATCTGGATTGTGTGAAATCAGAGGCTCTTGCAATTTTTCTTAAGTGCTAAAATTGAAGTCTTGATGTGAGCCCGTCTGATTTCACGCAATTACACAGGTCCTTGTTGGACTTAGAGTCCGTAATGAGATCTTCTATCTCATTTTGCTAGTCTCATATGATGTCACAAGTAGTCTGAGTACTTCTCAAGTCCAACTTGCATTAACTATATTTCCGCAAGTTAAATTAGGATTAGGATGATGAGGTGGTGAAATGTGAAGGGGTGATAACGATATACCTAAGATGCTGATGTTGAATGGGACATATGATCCAATTCCTGATGCAGGATGGTGGTCTTTAATACCCAAACCACATCAGACTGTAGTACCCCAATTGCTTAATTAGCTGCTTCTTTTGTTTACAAGCTTAAGAAGTGTTCATTTCTTGACATGTCTAACTTTGTTAACAAGAAGCAAATAGCTGATAGTTAGGTTTTCTTTGTATAGTTGAGTTTAGGTTATAACCACATTCTGGTTCAAGCTCAATTTGCCATGCAATTTCACACTTTTGTCTAGGCTGTTTGATTTTGGGGATTTGGTTTCATTGCTACATAACTGAGATGGCCTTTTGACTTCCCACTAATAACAGCTGCCAAGTTTTGTCAGGTCAAAGTTGGGCAATGGTTCTTGGCTGTATTGTTTTATGTCTTTTTGCAGCTTTTCATGGATTGTCTCTCTGTTCTGCGATTTCAGAGTATCTAGATGAAGCGATGTTGATTCCAAAAAACACTTCTGTTCTAATACGCCGAGTACCAGGACGTCCTCGCATGCCCATTGTTACACAACCGGACGAGTATTGATCCAATCTCCTGTTTTTTTAACCTTGAATCATTTTTTGTTGATACTACTTTTTGTATCAGTGCCATAGGGCTCATCTTATTTACCTGTTATATTTTGTTATATATATGTGCTGAAATTTTCATTGAAAAGAAATTGAGTTTAAGGTGGCCAATTGTTCGCTTGTTGAGATGGAAATCTGCTTTTGTTCTGTAGGCCGAAGGTGGAGGATAAGGTTGAGGATGAGCAACATGCAAAAAATAACTACTTTGCTGCTGATTCTTCAGGGTTTGGAGATGTATATATCCAGCATTTCTTAGTTTATATCTATAGTTGTTACAAAATTCATACATGACGAACATGTTAGATCATATGTTTCAGTTTGAAGCTTCAGAACTGGATGATGAGTTTGGAAATGATCTATATGCAACAATCCCTGAGATGACACCAGGACAATCAGGCAATCCGATGCAGGATTCAGTTCCTGCTAGTAAAGCTGATGAGGACAGCAAGCTTAAGGCTTTAATTGAAAATTCTAGTTTTGACTGGCAGCGGTGAGACTTTTCTTTCTTTATTTTTTTTTACAAAATTTAAGAAAGGGTTTTAGTTGTGACCGGATATCTTTTTTTCCCAGTACTGATGTGAAGTAATGTGTGAATATGCAGTCAACCTGGTGATGGTTTTGGCTCTGGGAGAGGATTTGGAAGAGGTGGGAGGGGGGGTGGTCGAGGTTTTGGTATGTCTAAAGCAATAAATCCTTACCTGCTTAGTGTATATAGTATATTGTTGATGCCTTGACAAATTTGTTTGCTATTGGCGATGAGTCTTAGTGATGTAAATGATTTAATTCTAATATTGCATGCTCTTGATTAGGCCGAGGTGGTATGGAGAGGAAAACACCTCCACAAGGCTATATCTGTCACAGGTGTAAGGTTCCTGGTAAGTTGTTGTTTACTCTTTCTTTAATGTTGGTGGTTCAATTTTAAACATTGTCGTGGATGCTGATTGTTTGTAAATAAATCTGTATATCAGGTCACTTTATTCAGCACTGCCCTACAAATGGTGACCCTAATTTTGACATCAGGAAAGTGAAACCTCCTACTGGCATTCCCAAGTCAATGCTTGTAGCTACACCGGATGGCTCCTATGCATTGCCAAGTGGCACATCTGCTGTCTTGAAACCAAATGAGTAAGCTCACTTAAATTACTATTATTATCATTTTGTCTTTGCAGCTCTTATCTTGTGCAGAATTCTTGAGCTGACAGCACTTTTACTCTTAACAGGGCTGCATTCGAGAGAGAAATTGAAGGTCTACCTTCTACTCGTTCTGTTGGAGATCTTCCACCAGAGCTCCATTGCCCGCTGTGCAAGGAAGTGATGAAGGATGCCGTGTTAACCAGCAAATGTTGTTTCAATAGTTTCTGTGATAAATGTAGGGTGATTGTATACTGTAAAGTGCCTTCATATTATCATAATAATGACGCGTGCCGTTTTTGACGATTGTTAGAGTTTTGTGTTGGTTTGATGAATGTAAATATTTTCAAAGAATAGCTCTCCCTTGGCTTCAGATTGCAAGTTTTTGTTTTTATTTATTTTTAATTAGTTTATTGATATAATCTTATTCTTTAATTATAGGATATAAGTAGCATAATGATCTTTGAGTGGGGGTCATATAGAATTTGATGTACTTATGTGCTTGGTTTATTGTATGGTATATTTTTGGAACATGAAAAAAAGTTGATGGTTATTGGTTTTGCATCTCCTGTATGGTATATTTTTGGAACATGAAAATAAGTTGATGGTTATTGGTTTTGCATCTCCTGTATGGTATATTTTTGGAACATGAAAATAAGTTGATGGTTATTGGTTTTGCATCTCCTAGTAATTTATATAATCTTTGGGTCTCATTGTGCTGGAGCATTGGTGTATTATGTAATGGCCTGTTTATTTGCTCTCAACATTTACATTTACTGTGCAAATATTTACTATGCAAATTGTGGACCCTTTTTATAAACAGCATTAACTTATATTGCAGTTTTTTCATTGACACATTTTCAAATAAAATTAGCCTTAAAGATTTGAGTGTTAGTGCCATTTGTGATCAGTTGATGTATACTGGTTTTTCTAGGTTCTAAAATTGTTTATTTATTTATTTTCCTTGAATCATGGCCAGGTATAAGGGACTTTATTATCTCAAAGTCTATATGTGTCTGTGGGGCAAGAGATATACTTGCAGATGATCTTCTGCCAAATAAGACACTCCGGGATACCATTAACCGTATACTGGAGTCTGGTAATAGTAGTGCAGACAATGGAGGGAGTGCTCTCCATGTTCAAGGTAGTTAAATTGAGTTTTTCTCAGCTGAACAAATTCTTTCCTGTCTTTTTTCAAAGATCTCATTATCTTGTTTCCTCAGATATGGAGTCTGCTCGCTGCCCGCAGCCTAGGATTCCATCGCCTACTCAATCTGCTGCCTCAAAAGGGGAGCAAATGCTTCCTCCACGTACTGAAGGAACTTCAAATATGAAAGAGAGTTTAGAAGGTATTAAGCCTAGCCATGCTTCACAGTCGCAACCACAGCAGCATATCTCAGAAAGAGACAAGATTACGAAAGTTCCAGACGTGTCTGAAGCTACTCATGAGTCGGCTAGTGTGAAGGAACCTGCGTCACAGGGTAGTGCTTTACCTGTTGAGGAAGAAGTTCAACAAAAGGTGGCTGTTGGTGAAGCAGGTAAATTGCACAGATGGTTGGTTTTGTCAAAATTGTTCTCTGTTACTATATTTTGTTTTACAAAAGCTTTTTAGCTCTCTGTAATATGTTCTAGGTTTGTGCAACTTTTTTTTTTATTCTGTCCGAAGCTGTCGTTTATTTTTCTTTAATTTGTGAGGGGAGCTAGGGGCGGGGGCTTGCAGTGTGTTACAGAGGCTTATATTTATTTTGCCCTAGTGATTATGGTGAAAATGCTCCTGTTGCACTTCTCCAGAATTTTTTCACATTAAAATGTAGATAACACACATTTTGTATATAAATGCAGCTGGCTGTTATCCTAATCAGTTGCCTTTTCCATGTCTTCCAGTAAAGAAAAAGAAGAAGAAGAAGAAGATGCCTATGCCTGGAAATGGTACACCCTTTTCATTTTAGTTTTCATGTCTTTCTTAATGCTACAACTCTGGATGTTTCTCTTGAGTCATTGTTTATCTTTATGTATGTATTTGTGGTACTGATTTCTGACACTGGGCTTGAACTTGATAATTTGCAGCTCCAGACATGCAATGGATGGGCATGCCTCCTGGGATGGATGGATACATGGGCCCTAATGGCTTCAATCCCTGTTGGCCAGGCATGCAGCCTGCAATGGATGGATTCATGGGCCCCTTTGGTGGACATGGTGGTAACATGCCTTACAATATGGGTTATGGTCCAGGGCCTATGGATATGCCCTTTGGGAATGTTTTCCCTCCAGATCCTTTTGGGAACATGATGCCTCCAGACCATTTTGGAGCACAAGGGTTCATGATGCCTGGAATGCCCCCGATGCTTCCTCCTCAAAGGTATAAATTGCAGAATGTTGATATTTTGTTCTCACACCATTTCCTTACCTTGTCTTTGGCTCTGTTATCCGTTTGCTGATATTGGACTCTGCTAATAGCAGTATTCATGCCAATAAATGTGTTTTTTGTTTTTGTTTTTTTGTTGAGTGTATGTATGTATGCATGTATGTATGTATACTATGGCATTGATGCTGTTTGGTGGGTGTGTGTGTTATAATTTTGACATTTTCTTCATTTGAGCTCACTGTGTATGTATATACTCTGTATGTACATTCTGTTGCTTCTCATGCTCGTCTTCTCGATAGAGCTTCAAAATTCACTGTTCATCTGCTTTGCATCTGACCTAGATTTTCATCTCAAGTTCTATTTCTGAACAATAGATTTTCCTGACAAAAAATTTAACTAAACTTCATATAACTAAACACAATGTTTTTCCACAAAAACAGGTCACTTGTTAATCCAAAAATTAAAACAAAATTTGTCATGTATGATCAGTGAGAAATGAGAAAGAAAGCAGTCTGCCAACTGAACAGTGAAAATAAGAATGAAAAAATGTGTCATTATTTATGATGCCTATTTAATTTTATTTGAGGACTTTACTCCATCCTTCTATCAATTATTAAAAACAACTGATATGGCTCAGTAAACTATGGATATTTTTTTAGTTATTATTGTGACGTACTCCAGAGCAGATGGTTTTCAACTTTTCATGTTACAGATTCAGGGTATACACGGTAACAACTCCCCTTGTTGGGTGAGGGCGTGAGGTTGCATACACCCATTTATCTTACTCTAATGTAGGCATGAGCCACTTTAGAGGCAAATGGGGTAATATTAATATGGAAGCTGATTTTTATTGGTTCTTGTGCAATAGAGTTCATACTTATGGTGTTGTCTCTTTTATGCACATGAATAAACTGCTTGTGTTGAGCTGGCACTAGAATTTTTTTTACTTTTCATTATGTGAAAGACCAAAAAATTGAGCTGTGTTTCATATACAGGGATCTTGCAGCAGAATTTGGAATGGGCATGAATGTCAGGCCACCTTTGATGAGTCGGGAAGAATTTGAGGCTCGGAAGGCTGAAGTAAGAAGAAAGCGAGAAATGGAGAGACGGGTTGAGAGGTGAGGAAGGGTCTAAGTTATTTTGATTTAATTGTTTGTAAACCAAATAAGGCAATAGTTAGCTATTTCAATTAATAAATTAAAGGCGTGTTTCAGGGTGTAGTATTACTCCATATTATGTAGCCTATTTTTGCGTGTGGAGAACTCTTGGAGTCTTGGTACTTGTATGTATGAAGAGTTCATTTAGTGTGTTGGTCTGATATGAATATTCATTGCAGTAGGGAACTTCCCAGAGATCGTGATTATAGCAGAGAAGTAAGCAGCAGCGCCAACCCCCCACCTATGAAGTCAAAACCTGTATGTTATTTTGTTGTCAATCTTTGTTCTTTTTGGTTTTGGCCTTAAGTGAAGCAGGAGGCTGCAATTTGGCTAGCAAACTTTTTCTATAGCTTGATAAATTTAAGTCAAAAAAATGTGAGTATAGGCAACTGAGGTTTCTTCTAACCCTTTGGTCTATAATTCCTATATTGGATTATTCTGGTCTCTATGTTGGGGAGCTTGATTGGGCTATTCTCGATTGTCCCGATCTTTTATGAGCTGGATGACATTTTTCAATTTGTGGTTGTATAAATGGGCTGTAGCCACAGGCCCACCTTAGTAAATACCCACTCTTCTGGTTCATTTTTTTTGTTTGTTTTTATTGCTCCCTTGTTGCTTGCAAGGAAAAAAATTTGAATGATTAGTTTTAAGTGGTTGACTTTTTTTTTGGTGGATTGTGTAACAAAAGGCTGTCTTGGCAAAGCTATGGGATAATACATTAAAAAAAAAAAAAAAAAAGAAGCTCTAATTCACCTAAGAAATTTCTCTTTTTGCTATGTATATTGTTTTGAATGCATGTTTGTAATAATTGACATTATGCGATATAGTGTTAAAATTTTGGGAATGGTTCTGAATAATATTCTTTTCAGATTGAATACATATTTATTTACTGTATTTAGTCTTTCAGTAAATTTAAAAATATGCCAGGGAATTTTAGTTACTCTAAAAATACGAAATTCTTGTGAGCTTTTTTTGAAGAATCAGTAACCCGAGTAAACTATTTTCCTGGGGAGTACAAAGTTTATATGCCTGACTACTCTGAATGTTGGACAAAAAGTTTGTATTTGACTAATTTGTTTCTAATTACCAGGTCTATAATGTGTTTGCTGTTTTGTTAAGAAAAACTTGTTTTGGTTGACTGATTATGAAATATACGATGATGGGTGTTGTCTAAATCTGAAATAAAAAGTTGAAATGTATTATAGCTGATATTAAAATTATTTACCTATGTTAGTTGTTATATATTTGGGGTGTTAGTTAAATATAAAAAGCATGTTATTAACATGTTTTATATTGTTGCAGAGGCCTCCTCCAGCCAGCAGGTCCCCAAGTGAAGACCGCTATGATAGTCTCCGGGACCGGGAGAGGGAGAGGGAGAGGGAAAGAGCGAGGGTAAGGGAAAGGGCTTCTGTCGATCGTGACCGGGAACAAGACCGGGATCGTGACCATGACAGCCACCAGCGACGGACTTCCCACAGTCACAGGTCTGAACGGGCTTCACCTGACAGAACTAAACGTGATGTAGAAGTCCCTCGTCCGACCCTGAAAAGAAAATCTGAACACCCTGAGCGAGATCACAACCATGAACGAGACCGCGATCACCGTGAGCGTGACCATAAATCTGAACGTCATTCTAAACCGTCCTCTAAGCCACCATCTTCTGTAGATGTGGTTCAACAGTCATTAGACAAGAAATATAAGGCGAGTGTGTTCTCGAGGATTAGCTTCCCGGATGAGGAGGTTTCCAAGAAGCAAAAGGTTTCTGCTGAGCCCAAGTCTAAGCCCGTTAGCAAGGACCATGATGCCCACCATCATAAAGTAGTGGCGTCATCATCTACAGCAAATGGGCACCATCATGATGCAGGGAAGAAGAGTGTGGCGGCAGCAGCAGCTATGGATTATGAGTCAAGTGACGATGAACGGCATTTTAAGAGGAAGCCTTCAAGGTATGAGCCATCACCCCCACGCCGAGAGGAGTGGATGAGTGTAGATGAGGAAGATGGTAGGCGGCATCGTAAGCACAGGTAGAGATGTAATACTAGGGAACTGATATTGTGAGGTTGAAAAGTGAGCAGGCCGAGGATCAATTTTCCCTGTTTGGGCAAATCACTCATCACTGTAATCTTATGTTTTTTTCTTATTTTTTTTAAACTTTGATTTGATGATTTTGTAATAAAATTGTACCTTTCCCATCTTCATTCTTTCTATCAAATATCAATGAAATCCACGCAATTTACATATGAATCTTTTGTCAAAAGTTTTTTTTTTCTTTTTTGCTTATACTCGTCTCCTCTTTCGATTATCCCCGTTAATAGATTTTGAATATGTAGTTTATTTTAGCGAGAATGCATTGATTACTACATATAGTGTGTTAGTAAAACTATACCTTCGTTTTGTTTAAGCAAAATTCGTAGCGATGGCTTAACATTTTTTTTAATTCAAAATCTTATACTACCTCCGTTACAGGTTATATGTAACGATTAGACATTTTTCCTCAATGTTTTATGTCAAATCGTTGCACACTGTGTAACGGAGGTAGTATTAATATGTTGCTAGTACAAGTATTAAAAAATAAAATTACTGGTGAGCATGAGTTGGATAACTATACCCATTTGACATGATCTGATTTGATATATGCCTTGGTAAATGATTCTTTAATCGGCTTTTGGCTTTAGCATTTGGTTAATCTAACATTCAAACATTTTGTTTGGTAAATGGTTTTAATAGCCAAATCATAACAAATATTTACTAAAAAAGCCAATACAAGCAGCTTGCAAACTAACCAATAGCCAAATACCAAATAAGGCCATAATAAAATACGAATAGGGTTTTACGACGTACATCTTTATGAAATGCAAAGCACCTATTTTGTACTCCGTAATGGTTGTAGCTTAAAATTTTGATCGTAACTCAACTATCAAACGGACAGTTTAGGGGACTTCAATTGAAAACAGAAAAACATCCTTCTTTATATACGTAGTAGAATCTTTTTTGCATGGAAAATCAATAATTGATCTTACAAGTTACAAACACGTACAAAGAAATTAAGGAAAGTAAAGATAATACAAAACAAACTCCTTTTTCCTCATATAACACTAGTAACTAATTTAATTAGTTACTAATTAAGGAAGGAGATGCATACATTTTCAAAAGCATAAACAAAATCAATTACATAAAACTATTACCAAGTTTCATTTACCAAAATATCATTATACTTTAACTTTGTATAGTTTTGGTAGAAGCTAAGGTATAATAGTTAAATTATTGATTATGTTACAACAAATTGTATCAATTAACAAGGCTCAATGCGGGCACAAGAAGGGTTCCAACTCCGCTAAGGATGCTGCCCAACTGAAGCAAAGGGATGCCCTCGAGGCTGCCTGTACTAACCGCGGCGTAAATGGGACAACCGAGGATGGGAAGGTTAACAAAGACCCTAAGCCTAGAGATATCAAGTACACTATTTAAGATGTTACCAACGTTAAGAATTTCGATCCTAAACGAGCATCCGAGGCAGTTTTGACTGAAGCAAGTATGTTGCCATTGAGCCTAACTCCTACCCTAATGTTGGACAAGGGTGCGCAGGTTCTACAAGCAGTTGTCACGGTGGGTGAGCACCGACATGTTCCGACTATGGCTAGCACGTTCACGGTTAGGCCGTTGATTATTAGGGCATTGGTTTCGGGTAAGGTGGTGGACATGAGTAGTAGGGTTAGTGCAAGAGAAACAAAGGTTGATTTTGTTGTGTTTGCCATTGTATGTAGTAAGGATGTATTTATTGTTGTATGGTTGAGTAGTTTGTATTTAGTTGAAGTGTGAGGAAAATGGTAGTAGTTAAGAGAGCTATTTATAGGAATGTATATGCAATTTGTATAATAATTGTATGCTTAATAATGTTTGAAAATTAAAATAGAAAATAATAAGGATCTTGCTAAAGAGCACACGGGACGTTATATAACCCTTTATTAAAATAGTTTTTTAAAATGGTGGTATAAATTTGGGAATGCATGCTAATTAAATCACGTGTCGATCTGTCTAATTAATGTTTATTTCAAGTTAATAGTTTTACTTTGAGTTATCTCATCCAATGCCTCCTGGATATTCATTAGCTTTGCCAAATACTCCCTCCGTCCTTATTGATAGTCTCTTATGAGCAATTTTCACGGGAATTAATAAGAACTAGTAAAAGTGCATTGAAAAGGTAAATTTACATTTGAGTATGCAAAAAAGTAGAGAGCGAAAGTAATAAAAGTATATGAAAAAGCAAAAGTTACATAAGAAAGTTAAATTTGCATAAATATTGTTGCAAATTGGAGGGGACTTTTGTAAAAGTTACTCCGTAATATTAATGGTACTTAAAAAAAAAAAAAAAAGCAAATGAAACTATCATTTTGAAACTTATTGGCTGAAGAGACTATCAAAGTATCAATAGGAATGGAGGGGGTAATAATTATATTTTAATATTAAACATAATGATTAATGAGGAAAAAAGGGAATTGAGGGATGGCTATATTTTGTGTTCTTCCCTTTATTAATTAGAGTGTAAGTGTGCAATTTGATAAGGTTGCAATCCATAGGGAGAGTTTGTTATGAATGTGCATGCGTAAATAATTGTTTATATATATTGTGACGTTGTGGTCACGTACTTTTTTTTTTTTTTTTAAATTATTATCACATTTTGTATTCCCAAAGTCCTATACCTTTGAGAATTTGTTATGTTAGACTTTGTTAATAGGGCTAGTGCAATAATAGAACGTATGCATGGAAGACTACCAGATCGGAACAACTGAACAAGTAGAAGATATTATGCTCATCATATTGCTCATCATATTGTTTAAAGAAAATTAAATTAAACCCCATGCAACTCATGTATGGTGTATATGTAGTAGAAGGTCACCGAATCAATTTTTAAAGTTGCACAACACGTTACACGTACATAGTACACTTGCACAATTTTAAGGGAAGAACACAAAAACACCCATCCCTTAAATCCTCATTTTCCGGATTTATCATTCAACTATTATTATATTATTATTATTATTATACTTGTACTATTCAAACTTTATACGGAGTACATACAAAGTATATGCATATGCATGCATATTGCAATCACACATTTATCCTATAAATAGTTTCCTTCATTTCTATCATTCTTCTCACACTAACTCCAAATACATACTCTAAATTCCTACAACTAACATTACAATGGCAAACACAACAAAATCAGCCTTTGTTTCTCTTGCACTAGCCCTACTAATCATGTCCACCACCTTACCCGAAACCAATGCCGCCCTAGTAATCAACGGCCTAACCGTGAACGTGCTTGCTATAGTAGGAACTTGTCGGTGCTCACCCACCGTGACCTCAACCTGCCCCATATGCGCGCCCTTGTCCAACATCAAGATCGCGGTTAAACTCAATGGCAATGTAATTGGTTCAGCCAATACTAGCACTGATGGCTCCTTTAAGATCACTATTAATGTGGGAAACATCATAAATAACCTAGTTGATGTCTCTAATCTTAGGGTCTTCATTGAGCTTCCTATCGCCGGTTGTCCCATTTGGGCGGCCGTGTCTACCGGCCACCTCCAAGGCATCCCTCTCTTGCAGGTTGGCACCGTCCTTAATGGAGTTGCTACCCTTCTTGTGCCCGCTTTGAGTCTTGTTAATTGATCTAATTTGTCAGAACAGTACATTTTAATCAAACTATCTATATTGTACCTAAAGCTTCTACCAAAATTATTAATATAATGTAAAATTTTTGGTGGATTAAACTTGGTACATGTTTCAAGTACTTGGAATATAATTTCTTCTTGCTTTCAATAAATTATGTATCTCCTTCAAATTCTTAATAAGATAGTAACTAAATTAACTAGTTAATTAGTTACTAATGAATGTATGAGGAAGAGGGAGTTCGCTTTGTAATACTATTATTACTTTTCTAATTTTTGTACATGTTTTCCTATCCCTAAGATTAATTAAGGTTTTCCATGCAACGAAGATTTTATCTATCCCTTATTTTTCTACTCTATTTTTTAGTAAAAAAAAAACATATCCGAAATTTTCCAATCCGAATCTAGTATGTACGGATTCAACTAAATTCACTAAACCCATAATGATCTATCATTAACGTGTCGACGCAGAACACAACACAACCCTTATACACATATACGTGTCAAGTATACACATGTCACACGTGTCACGTACAATCATGTCGGTTAAGTGGTATGCCTGCAATTTGTACCCATGGAAAATTTGCAAATAAGGGTCTTATGATTTGTTGAATATCAATAGGTTGAACTACATGTAGTGAATATTATTACTAAAGGCCTACAAGTTAATTAACCTGATCAAGATAACAAGTAGACATATAGTTGACAATAGCTTAAAAACAAAGACTACACTACTAGTACTACTACTACATTTTCAATCAAACTATCCTCCAATGGTTTGGCTATTAGCTTGAAAATTATTAAAATTGCAAGCTAGTCCCTAAAAGCAACCATTGGAGTTGCTCTTATTATTATTATTATTATTATTATACTCTTCAACTAACCCTTATTGCACACCCTATAAAAACCTCCCTAGCTTCACCCCTCAATTTCTCCTCACACTACAACAAAATACAATCACTAAAGTCATATTTCCTATATACTGTATAAAAAATTAAAAAAAAAAAAACTAAAAAAAAAAATCACAATTTCATAAGTCCTAAAATGGCAAACATACGCAACAACAACTACCTAACCAAAAGCCAATGCCGCTTTAAACCTCAACGGAATAGACACTGTACTTAATGGAACTCTTTGTTGCTCGCGTCGCGCACTTTAACCGATCGTTGCAACAACTGCCCACCCTTAAGTCCTTAACCAAAGAATAAATAAGTATCCAAAATAAGCAAGATGAACGAATCTTTCGAAATAGCTTTATAAAGCATTAGAACATAGAAAGCCAAACCTTAAAGAAAACCACCCTACATAATCAAATGGAGTATGACTTACTCAAGTCTAAGATCTAAGAGCAAGATTAGCCCTGTCTAGTCTTAAGATTTTAATTAATTGCTACATCAGATTTTATATTAAATTTAATTATTTTTTTTAATTTTAATTATGTTAAGACTGCTTAAAACCCAATCAAATTTATCTCTTCAATCCTAAGACTTATTTTAGATTTCTTTAAAATATTTATTAATTTTTATTTGTCTTTTAACATATATATTTCAATATATATTTTTTCGAAATACATATACAATTTTAATATGATATAAATATTCACATTGGGATAACAAATTTCTAACCCAATTTAGATGTCATAGTTGAAAAATAATAGAAAAAAGATCAAGCAAAAAAAAATAAATTATAATGGAACTACATGAATTTAATTGATTTAAAAATGCATTAAATTTTAAAATTACAATATTGCATTAAATAGTTGTAAATGGAAAATAAAAATGACTAATGTAAAATTGATAGTTTAAATACTAAGATAACTTAAATTGATAATTGTTATGATTGGTATGTATTTTTATTTTTTTGCAACAAGATAAGTACATAGTTAAGATAAAATAGAATAAACAATGATTTTTGCATATAAAAAATTTAAAACAAACGTACATATCTATAATTTTTTATTATTTTTTTTATTTTTTTTTTAAGAAATGTACATAGATTTTAATGTATTTAAGAAATAAAAAAAAGTTTTATTTTATCAAAACACTCTGTTTTGATGTATATAGGGAAAACACGGTGTATAGTGTGGAGAGTTGAGTCTTGAGTTTTCAAGACTCCACTTCAGATTTTGTTAAGACTTAGCTTCTTAAATGCATTAAAAAAAAAACAAAGTCCTGTCTTAAGATCACAAAATCAATAAAATGATGATGTCACCCTGAGGGCTAATCTTGCTCTTAGATCTTAGACTTTTTTTTTGTAACCTTGCCGCCATCCCACCGTTAATAAATTTCTTTAGTGGGGCCCTTTCCAATTATTATTATTTTTATTGATTATAGCGCGTTGTAAAATGTTCCGTTAAAGGTTTTGGGGTTATTTGGTTCTAAGAGACCAAATTGAGCTTAAATTTGCCAAAAAAAAAACTATGTAAATACCTCATTTTACAGATTGAAATGTAAACACGCAAATGAAGACATTTCTTAATACGCAAAACGAGGTATTTACGTTTTATATTTTCCAATTCTGATCTTAATTTAGATCCTTTAGGGCCAAAATAGCCCATAAACTTTAACGGGACATTTATCAACTAGAGGTAGTTATTGGATAGGGTAGCCCAATGATAATAGGGTCAGGGTCAAGCTTATAGGGCTTTTATTGAAAAGGGCTATTAATGGACAGGGCCCTTATTGGGTAGGGTCAATATAGGGCCAACATGCTTTTCCAATTTAGTTGATAAAGAAAATACATAATGTAAAAATAATTATATAGATTAATTTGTATTCATACGTATTTAATAATTGTTTTATCCAATATTTATTTTAATTGATATTTTGCAGGCCCGCACATTATCAACCCACAACCCGCATTGGCCCGATCCTATATTGACCCTATAAAATGTGACCCCGACCCGCACCGACCCGCCCAATAACCAGGTCTATTATCAACACTTCCCCCCTTTTTTTTTCGGACAAGATATACTGTAAAAACTTGGGCAACCCGCGAACTCATTTCTAATTCTACAAATGTTTTCCATCAATTTGTTTTTCTAGGGTTTATAATCCTTCGATAAACCCTTCTTCCTCCTAATTCTTCAAACAATCATCGTCAAGTAAGCAACTATGATGCGAGCTACGTCAAAGTTATTGTCTACTCTCTGGAAGTCTCTCTCATCCTCTTCTCAGCCTGCTACTGCTAATACCAAGCTTCTGGTATTTTTCATATTTTGATAGTTGTTGTGTTGTTGATAGTTGTATGCAAGTATAAATTGCCAATTTTGGTGTTTTGGTAGTCATTTTCTAATCGGAGTACTGTCATTTGTAATGATGCTCTTGCTCGATTGTTGAATGCAGTCGTAATATTATGATGTGTAGTTATCTTGTGGTGAACTTAGGGTTAGATACTCGTCCCCATTTGTCATTTGTAGTCCCTATACAGCTATCTGTTCATATTGAAGCAGAAATTATTAGCTATCTTTTCATATTGAAGCAGTATAACAATCTTGGTTTCATTGTTATTGTCTTGACATTATAATCTTGAAATGGGGTTGTTGATGTTTGGTAGCAATGATGTGGGGGTGCAAGATTGTTGTTGTACTGTTAATTATTTCTGAATTTGGGTAATTTCTTGGGAGATGAAGTATAAAATATGACTAATCTGGGCTATTTTTCATATTTTGATAGTTGTTGATAGTTGTATGCTGGTATATTTGCCAATTTTGGTGTTTTGGGTAGTCATTTTCTAATCGGAGTAATGTCATTTGTCATGCTGTGATGTTTGCTGCAAAGAGTAGTTACCCCTAGCTCGATTGTTGAATGCAGTCGTAATGTTATGATGTGTAGTTATCTTGTGGTGAACTTAGGGTTAGATACTCGTCCCCATCTGTCATTTGTAGTCCCTAAACAGCTATCTGTTCATATTGAAGCAGAAATTATTTCAGTTTGGTTTTGTTTATGAAGCCTGAATTAGCCAGTATTAAGCTTCTAGTGGAATGGTGGATCATGCCAAATTCAATGGGACAGACACAAGCTAAGAACAACCTGTTTGATACTTAGAATTAACGTCTAGCATTTTTATTTGTTGGGATGTTGAGAAGTTCAATAAAATTGGAGCAAATATGGGTACTAAATACTAATAGTCAAAATATTGTGCAGCCTGTTTGATATGTTACATTTGTTACCCATTTAATGTTGTCCATCTGTTTTCCCTTTCGATTTCTCTTATTTTAGTTTATGTATGCAGAAATGTATGAGTGCAGAGCTAACTGCATGTGCCATATTCTGATGTATTCTGTTTAATCAGTTAATTATCTTTATCTTCTTTTTCTAAAGATGAATACGGCTTGGACGGGTTTGGAGAAGACGCCACAAGGGTCTTTCAAAAAGAAGATTTATGGGTACTCTTAGTTACAAATTTTATCTTTGCCTATTGTGATTTACTGGTCTTCCTATCATATTCCTTATTTTAAGTCTAAACTTTTATGCAGTGTCGGGTTATGGTTGCTTTCTCGGGTCAAGCCAAGCAAGCTCTTCGTCACTGGAGTTGAAATTACATATCCAATAAGGTTCCCTCTTTGCTTTCATGTTTAGACTTCAGTATTTGGCATTCCCTCATTTTCATATATTGTTATTGAGATGTATTCATGTTGTAATATAAGAGACTGTTTAGTCAGCATGCTCATATACTAGCTATTCAACACTAATAACATAAACTAGATTTTATTACTCTTAAAATTCATCACATTGCATTCAGTTCCTATCTCTAATCATTTGAAATACTAAAATTATATCCTATAGGAATATCAGTAATTTTCTATTTAGATTTTCAAATTTCTAGAATCACATGTGCTGTAAATTCTGAGTTATGGTTTGTTTCTGATGATGCAGTTTGAATGATAGACTTGTACGTCGAAGATTACGCCACATTGCTATGAGGTAAAGAATAACACCCGCTTGATTTTTATTTTTTATTTTTACCCTTTGGCATTTATATATTTATTTAGAGAATAGTTGATAGTAAAGCTTTGGTGACTTCAAGTAATATAATAAATTCAAATGGCCTTTTGTTGCTAAAAAAAAATGCTCTAGAGGGTCAAGTTACCATCATTTTTACATTATGAAATAAGTGTGCATAGCTAGTTAATACTCCGTACATGAGAAGATAAGTAGGATTTTTTTTGATGAATTTGCACTGTTGGACTTTTTGTGACTTTGTGAGTGCCACCGGGCTTTATTTATTTATTTATTTATTTATTTATTATTATTAGTATTTTAGGTCAGCCTTATAATGCTGAAATAAGTGGGTAGCAGGTGGCCACTCTACTCTGCAAACATCCATTTATAAAAGTATTTGCTTCTTGGAAGCGCATCGTTCTCAGACAATGGTATGTGTGCCTATGTTGAGTGTGGGTATATGATCCTTAATTCTAATCAACGCTTTGTTATGAGTGGTGATGGTGGAGGATGTGGACCCTGGTGGTTACCATCTTAGCTTGCTTTAGTCTAATTATTACTGAATGTTGATAGATTTCGGTATTGTGTATTTGAATGCCCACTTTTTTGTCTCTTTTTCCCTGGCTAGATCTATATTTTCAAGGCAGTGAGTAATTTATAACGAAACATTGGTATATATATTTTTTTTCAGTGGATCAGTAATTCACAAAAAGTTTCCGTATGGCTCTGCATCATTGCTTCCAGTATCCTCTGTCTTTAATCGCACATATTCCCACCGGCGTGCCTGGCAGGTGTGTGCTATATGTTAACCTTTGTATGGCTTTGTATGGCTTTAAAGGGGAGGTGGTTGGGTTTTTTTTTTTTTTATTATTTTTTTTTGTATTATTATTTTAGACCAATAATGTGGTACCACGTGTGCAAATAATCCCAAGTTACAAATGGTAACATGTTTAGCCGGTTTCAAGTCACCTGGGACCATTGAAAGCGGATTGGGTATAAAGGTCGGATTATTAAAAAATAATCGAAAGGTGGGATTATTTTGGGCGGATGAGGCAAAGATCAGATTATTCTGGGCAATTTTTCCTAAAATTAATTCATACAATACCATTTTAAAAGGAGTGTTATGTTCAACGTCAACATAATTAGTGCAAAAACATACAAAAAATAATCCTTTGAAGTGATTAATGCTCTTATATTTAAACCTTATCGCAATTGATGTAGATCAATTCACTAAAGATTATATACAATTTTTCCTTAAAATCATCTCGAAATGAGTAAATGACACATCAATTGCAAAAATAGCCTATTTACTATTTAAAGTCTTAATATGTACGTGTAATTGAAATAGTGTTAACTCCTTGTACATTTATAGAATATCATGTCTAATAAAGTTACCCCTAAAATTACAAAAATTACCTTTTAAAATTGCAAGAGTTACCCAAAATTTATTCTTTTTTTTGACAGGATACCTAAAATTTATTCTTATACTCACAAAAGTTACTCTTAAAAATTAAAATCACATAAGTTACCTATAAGACAATACTATTGCAAAAGGTTTACGTATAATCTTGTAAAAGTTACCCATAATCTTAACCCATTCAAAAGTGGAAACCTTCAAAAATTGGTCAACATCCTTGAGGAATAGTGATATGAGTCTAAAGTCCATGATTTTTACTGTACAATTGAGCAAAATTGCCGAAATTATGCTGGCTTGAAATTCGTTCATTTCATTCCAATTTGGTTTCATTTAATGAGTCATCATATTACTTTCTCCCCTTTTCCCTCATCTCCACTCATTCTACTTTTACATTTCATTTTTTTTTCTCACTCCTTTCTCTCTTTCAGTCCTTTCTCCTCCATTAAGATGCGTACTCCATTGATTTTTCATTTCATTTCATAATCTGATTTTTCCATTGAAGCATAATCTGAGTTTTCTCTCCTCCATTGAAACTGAGGTATTGTTATTGAATTTGCCCAATTTGGTTTGTTTTTGGGTATATAAAAATTATAATTCTGAATTTTTTGGGGCTAAAATGGTTGCTCCGATTTTAGATTAATGGATTCATGAATGAATGGATGCATTGAAGCGACTTTGAGGTAAGTGCCTGCTATTATTATTATTATTTTTTTTTTTTCTTTTCTTTTTTTTAAATCGTGCATTTTCAATTTCACTATGTTGGGTTTGAGTTTTTTCATTTTTTTTTTGTCCGATTGGGTGAGTTCATGAGTTGCGATATCTTTTGTTTAAAATGTTGGATTAAGGGGTTTTGGTTTTATGGCAGGATACGTCGGGTTTTTGTTTTCAGACCCATGGCTTCATAATCACTATCAGTTCACTGAAGTTGAGTTTTGGCATTGAAATCTCAGGTTTAATTTGAATCATTTTTATTATTATTTTATTATTTTTTTTGCGTGTTTTTACGGATTTAAAGTTTGTGCTATTGTTGGTTTGTTGTGGTTTTTGTTGTTTGAATGTAGTACTATACGTTTAGGAGAGATAGTGGACCTCTTACTCTCTCCGATTTGTCATCGAAATTGTCGAACCTAAGGTTGTTGGAGATAATTTAACTGAATAACAGAGACTCATTTATGAGGAGTAAGAATGATGAAGTTGATTTTGAGCTCTTTCTTAGGTTTAGTGACTGATTTATTTTGAGCTCTTTCTTAGGTTTAGAGAGATTGGGAAAATGTGATGGTGACGGTGCGAGAGAAATATGGGAGCAAGAGATATGGACACTGGAGGAGGTCAATTATAGTATGAGGAAGCAATAAACAAACCATAAAAGACTTGAGTGATAGAAAGAGTAGGGGGGAAGGGAAGTAAAAGGCGATAAGGGAAGCAAGTGATATGGAGTTTATTTTTGATAAATGTGCTTAATGAGAAGTGGTAGTATAGTTTTAGATTTACATAAAAAAAATGGATATTAATCTATTCTCACTTGAGCGAGTATGTTCTTAGATTCACAACAATCGGATAGGGTTCCTCTATGGTAGATTAATTATTCAATTATTGGTTATAATTACTCAAGGTGTGAAAGAGATATGTTTAGGTTAGCTTATGAGAAGTGCAGTAATAAACGAGCAAGAGCTCATGTAATAGTTTTTGAGAAAAAGCTTGTAAGGGCTTGAGACAAGTATTACTTGTAAATAAAATAAATTTGCCACCATTAATATAGGAAAGTGAGAGGGAGAGAATATGGGGTAAAAAAAAAAAGTAGGAGGACCTGAGGGAGAATTGGGGAGTACCTTGAGAGAACATTTTAAAAGTAAACGAGGAAGAGAGACATAACTCTTTTAGGATCCTTTTGATTTTCTCATAACCATGAAAGACGAGTGAGTAAAGGAGAGGCAAGGAGGAAATATTATAATTCCAGGAGCACGTAATTTAAACAAATAACTAAGGAAGGTATGAGTTTAGTGTTTTATGACTAATTTATAGTTGTAATAGGAGAGAGTTAGTGATGCTTGAGTTAGGAGGAGCCGAGGGAGAATTGGGAAGTACCTTAAGAGACCATTTTGAATGTAAACGAGGAAGAGAGACATAACTCTAATAGGATCCTTTTGATTTTCTCATAACCATGAAAGGCGAGTGAGTAAAGGAGGGACAAGGAGGAAATATTATAATTCCAAGAGCGCGTAATTTAATCAAATAACTAAGGCAGATATGAGCTTAGTGTGTTATGACTAATTTATAGTTGTAATAGGAGAGAGTTAGTGATGCTTGAGTTAGTTCAGATCTCTTGCTTATATAGTCAATAGTGTTGACAATTAGTGACCTGTGTTTAAATTTGGGTGAAAATTTGCATTAGTTTTATTATCTCTTGTTTAGCTGAGGTTGGGGGTACTGTTTTACAAAACGGGAATTATATATGTCAATGAATAAATGAAATGTGAAGTTTGAATCAATTTGATTGTTGTATTTGTAGGATTTTGGATAGGTATATGTAAATAACATGTAAATCCTTTAAGCAAAGTTGCTTGAATCTGTCAGCTAGCCCTGATACAACTGAGCTTTAGCAACTCTGATCTTCCCTTCCTTGACAGTAAGCTATGCTTTACGCACCTCCTTTGGCCACTGTACTAGCCATTTGGAAAAGCTCTCGATATTGAACTTTCGAGGTCAAATATGCAAACTATTCTCTACAGACTCAAATGCCTGATAACCAGCCAATTTTTTATCCTGAGAAGTATAGTTACCTTATCACATCATTGAACTCTTTTTTTAGCAAATACTAATTTTTAATTAGCTGGTTATTTATGGTTAATTTTTGATACATTGTGCAGGAAGGGAGATTTTGTTTGCAGTAATCAAGCCCAATCAATGTGTTCCTCTAATTTAAATATCGAGTGCTACAGTTTTATCCGTGTACAAGAGTAGCCGGGTACATCCTTGACACACACGAGTCTAGAAGTTTGGGTTAACATTCGAGGTAATCCTTTGCTTTGCTACTCAAAAAATGATATTTATTTTATAAACTTTAGTGTGCTCCTAAACGGCTAAACTTACTTCATGATCTTTTAAATTAAAAAAATAGGAAAAAATAACAATAAAAAAGGGTGTAAAAAACGTAGGTAATTGCAACTGACAAAATGCTAAAAATCTAACATGATAAGGACCATTGCCATTGAATCAGCACAAATTTGTAATGAGGTATAAATGCTAATTAAAATAAGATATTGGACCAAATTGGCTTGTGATTGAGGAAATGACTTTTGGGATTAAGGCTTTGATTGATTGACATGTGTACAAATGAGTGAGCTTAGTGAGATTGGCTAATATTTAAGTAAAATGCAATTGGAAATTAAATATCTTACCATGATCAACTTGCAAATCTGTTGTTACTTGTTACCAATATGCCAATCATGCTGCTATAATGTGTAGTTCTTACTGGTTTTATTTTTATTTATTTTTTTTTTTTTTATTGATTCTAACCTTTGCTAGGGCGCCTAAGAAACCCTATTCACCAAGTGCTTGGTGAAATTGCAAAACTCCTAAAAAGAAAGGTTGAGTCTAATTAGAGACAAATTTGTCAAGGATGAGGTGGATGGTGATATTTTGGTAGAAAGTAGATGTCCCCTATGTTACTCGGACTCGGGTACCCATGTCTGACACGGGTATGTGTCCAAGTATCCGACTCGGCTATTTTGTGAAAAAATTCTATGATTTTGAACTAAAATGAAGTGTCCAATTGCCATACCCATGTCCGAGTGTCGAGGGTCCGACACTGGTACTTGAGGTAAAACGAAGAGTCCGAGTAACATAGGATGTCCCTGTTCTTGTTTTTTGGAATTCTCTTGAGACATATCTTCTTGTTGTCAACGATTTGGTTAGCTTTTCTGTTTCCCCTTTACTCATGTTTTTTTGAATCGATTTTGCTAATAATTTCGCATAAATTGTGTGGAAATTTGAGTGTCTGAATTTGATCATTGCAATTCTAATAATTTTTCTTTTAAAGCATTGTGATCTTTAGTTTTTGAGCTGGTTGATATTGTTAAGCTCAACTGTGATATAGATGTTGCATACTACTGTAGTATCATTTTGCTCAACCCGTGTAAAATCTACCTTGAAACTTGTCTGTCTTAAGCGTAGAAACACTTCCAATTTTGATATACTTCTTGTGTTGAGTTAAGGTATGGTACTAATAATTAATGTGTGCTGTTGTTTGAGCCCTATCTTGACGCCGATCTTTCTCCAACTATAAATTTGTTTAGTTCAGGTCAGTTGATATGCCTTATCTATGTCGTCCATCCATCCAAGATATTTTTTAAATTCACATATACTTCGTATATATTTGTCCAACCAATTTGGTCAAAGCATATAATTTTAGGAGCTATGAAAATTCCAAGAGAATATTATGTTGGTGTTTAAAATTCTTGCTCTTTCTCAAGGGGAATGGATGTCAATATATGGTCTATGGTGTCATGTATATCATATAAAATACCAAGACTTTCTTGCTCATATACATGATGGTATTTTCTTAATTCAAATTGTGTAATGGATAAAGTTGGAAGTAGTAACACTTAGTTTATCAACGTGATTTGAATCTGTCTACAAGTATACTTTAATGTAAATGTTTCTAACTACTTTTATGAGCTTCTCTGCTTCTTGCGGCCGGCTAATTATACACTATTTGTAAGCCGGGACCTCTGAAATGGTCTTATTTCTAAGTAGCAACATCTCTATCATAGGGTTCATATGTTCTATAAATTAATGGCTTTACTGTGTTAACTGTATGGCAAATGAGCCAAACTCAGGTAATCTATCTGATGTTTGCCTGTTGCCTTTTGGCTCTTTTTTAATGTCTCCGTGCATGCTACTTTTAAGGTAACTTTAAATGAGGCCAGTGCTTTAAAACTGCTCGAATTTTGTAAGGAATACTTTTCTTTTGACAACATAACATCAATGATTTTCATTGTTTGACTTCACTCTTCAGTGTTGGTGACATTTTAGAAGCTTTTTTATAACCTGATTGTTTATCTATTATAGTACTATATCAAGTATGTGATGTGATTCACACTTGAACTATGATGACTTTTTGCTATGCATCTACAGTGTAACTGATCAATGTATTTAAATAAGATTATTGCAGTTATCAATTAGTGATTTTGTTTGGTATTGATAGTATTGGGGCAATGACTGTAGTATGTTATGTTAATATTTGCAAATTAGTTTTTGCACCATTCGATAGTGTTGAGCAATTATGTTGGGATTTATGCATTGTCCACATGACTGTTGAATCTAGCATGAACTTTCATATGCTTTTAGAGGCAAATGTGAAGTGATATCTGTTATGTTTTGCAAAGCCATTTCAAAAGTGCTATCTGCATTATCCAAATGACTTGAATCAAGCATGAACTTTCATATGTTATAAACTTTGCAAGCTTATAAAAGGAGAGGGAAAGAGATAAAAAGATCACTTTTAAGAGACCATATCAAGAGTGTGCTTGGGGTAAGGAGTATAAAACCCTTCAAAAGAGTTACTAAAGAAGGTCAATGGTGGGTTTTGGGAAAATCGTTCAAACCGTAAAAATAGAGTTATAGGGAGGGAGAGAAAGGGGACAATAAGATTGGGAAAAATCATTCAAACCGTGAAATACAGTTTTAGGGAGGAAGAAAGAGGGGACAATAAGGTTGGGGGAAATCATTCAAACCGTAAAAATAGATTTATAGGGAGGGAGGAAGAGGAATCAATAAGGTTGGGGGGATAAGAAAGAGAATATGAGACAAGAAAGAGGGACAAATACGAGATAGAGTAATGAGCCTTTAGATTTGAAGTAATTTTTGATGGGTAATTTGAAAGCAAGGAGCCAAGGAGGCCGAATGAGATTAATGAGGCTACCAAGACGGACGAGGAGAGGAAAGCTTAGATTGAGGTTAAGGTTGCTGCTGCTAGGTTGTTGCAGAAAATGTCTGAGTAGGCATGAGAGAAGGGAAAGGCGGTGGTAGTGGTAAAATGTAGAGTAGTTTGGTTTCTAAGACAGGTGTTCGGAAGGTTGGTTATAGGGGAAACTATGGGAGTTTTACATAGAACTCTGGCTATTTCTGAGAGAAAGTGAGAGTTCTAAAAGGATTTCTAACTTTCTAAGGGTCACACGACATTTTTATTTCTATCAATAAGACTCTAAACTAATCTGCATATTCAATTGTCAGTGTATGTGCAATTGTGCACTAACATGTTTTTCATTTTCAAGCTTAGAAAAATGATATTTCTTTCTTTTAAATTAAGTGTGATTAGAAATATTGTGAGATTTGTGTTTTCCTCACCTGAAATTAGTATTTTATTTATTTATTTATTTATTTTTTGTAAATTTTTATTATATTGGTTAATACAAGTGTATATATATATATATATATATATATATATATATATATATATATATTTGTGATGATAGGTTTGGCTTGGGTATTTCTAATGATGATGGGTACTATAGATAAGTAGAAAGTGATTGATAGATTATAGTTGATATTAGTTCATAGATTATGTCAAAGATGTCATTGTTTGAGTAGCTTCTTGTATACATCAACGAAATTACATTCCTCTTATAGATTCAAGTTTATATTATTGTACATTTGTTTTATTTATTTGTTGTGGTGTCATGGTGCATGCTTATTGCATTATTGGGCAAATCAGGACTCATCTTAGTAGTCAGGCCTTAGTAATTTAAGCTTATTGAAGCAAATTTAGAGCTCTTTGAAGCAGTTTCTCTTATGGGAATTTGTGTAGGTAATGTTGGGTTTGGTTGCACTATTTAGTGTCTGAATCATAGTATTGTGGTGCTTGTACATTATGCACCTAGGTTCATTATATTAGACTTTAGTTTTGGTCCAATTACTAAATTGGTGTTCCTTTACTTTTGTGCAGGTTGATACATGTGGTAAATAAAAAAAAAAATCTCTTAATATTACGTTCAGAATGATCCTCTTTTGTATGAACTTCAGGTATGAACACCCCTACTTTTAGAAGCAAAAACTACTTGTGGGTCTCTTTTGTATGAACTTCAGGTATGATACAAGATAATTGCACTTCAGCTCTTCAAGGTTAGGATGTTATTTTTATCTTGTTATCATTGGTGATTAACTCTGTTCTCTATGCTTACTATTTTATCTAGATGATATGGGATAAAATGGGCAAGCCAAAAACAACTATGATAAAATGTTACTTGAGGTTGAACAAGAATGCATAGAAGTAGACACGAGAAAAGTTGATGCAGCTAACTGCTCTACATCTGGCTATATATTGATGATTCAGAGGCAAAACTTGCAGCCATATATTATGACATATGTAATAGTTTTTGTAATTAATTTGTAAACTAGGTAGGATTAGTAACCTTTACTCCTTTTAAGAATACTTGATTAGGTTTCTAATTTTATAATTCCCTGTGCGATTCCTATGACTTGTATTGTGTCTAAGATACATTTTTTTTCAAAGCAGTTTGCATGCTACTTTTGTCAGTATGATAATTGAGCAAATGTCAATTATAATAACCCTATTAGATTGTGATAAACACAATTCAATTTGTATACTGAAATATTGCTAAAAATAATACAACTTTTGGTCCATTCTTTTCTAATAATACAACATTTTGATTATTTTGTAATAATACAACCTTTAGGGGTGTTTATTTTAATCAAGATAAAATTGAATTTACACTGAGTTTTGAAGTGGGAGAAAGGGAGGGGATATTCCACCCTTCTTCGTCCCCACCATCAAAAACTCATCCCCTCTCTTTTCCTAACCTCGAAGTCTTTTTTTTTCAATACATGTTTATTTACCAAAATCTAAGAATAACCATTGCACGTGATAATCTTTACTAAGTAATTACTAAGAAAAACTCATCCCCTCTCTTTTCCTAACCTCGAAGTATAAGCAATATTAGTTCGTGATTTTAAGACCAAACAATACTAACTCCGCAAAATATTAAATCTCTTCAAAAAAAAATAATAAAACAATATTATAAATGACAACACCATGTGCTAACTAAAGCAGTGTTAGTTTGTAAACTTAGCAATAATTACAACAAGTTTTAAGCATATTAATCAAAAGCCTACAAACAATTGCCGCACACTCTGTTAATCACACCAATCATGTTAATAAAAGAAAATACTAGGAAATATATGTATTAAATAATACTTAATATAAATGAATAAAAATAAAGACCACACTTAATTATATCTAATTAAGCCAATAATTACAGCAACAAAATAAACGCTGAACTATCGCGCGCAACAGGCAACTAGTCTAAGAAAAGTTTACCAATAAAAATGTAGGATATTGACAATGTAATATAAAAATAATTAATTACATCACCTTCAAAAAAAAAATTACATCACAAATTCAGAAAATACAACTTCTATTCTTTCGTTTAAAACTTTGAATAATAGGAGGCTCTACCTGTTTAATGGGTTAGGGGTCCATTTAACGCCCTGGTCAGCCCTTTTATAAAGGGTTTTTACCCATCCAAGATTTAAATGGGGCGGGTTTTGAACTATTAAATAATGAGCTTTTAAAGGGTTGGGTCTAATTTAAAAAGGGCTGAAATTGGGTAACTTTTAGGAAGCTTTTTTTTATCCACGCTTTTTTAGGAATTTCGGAGGTTTCAAGGCCGGTGGAGAAAAGTTTTGAGGCCCTATGGGATATATCTTAGGGTCATATAATGCCATTTGGAACCTTATATGACCATTATAAAATGTCATAAATTCCGTGGTATGCTTGAGCTCACGAAATCGGTGAAAGTTGTGAACGGGTAAATTGACCGTTTTAAGAAAAATTGGATGGTTACGCCCACCCAACTGGACTTCCGGAGAGGGTTAGGGACCATAGTAAACATCTAGGCAATTTTTCTTTCCGGGCGAAAAAAAGGTTAAAAAATTCCAAAATTGAAGGCTATTATCCACGTTTTTTAGGAATTTCGGAGGTTACGAGGCCCGCTGGCGAATAGTTTTGAGGCCCTAGGGGATATATCTATCTTAGGGTCATATAATGACGTTTGGAACCATATATAACCATTATATAATGTCATAAATGTCTGTGGTAGGATTGAGCTCACGAAATTGATGAAAGTTGTGAACGGGTAAATTAACTGTTTTAAGACAAATTGGATGGTTCCACCCACCCAACTAGACTTCCGGAGGGTGTTAGGGACCATGGTAAACGTTTCGGAAATTTTCCTTTCTGGGCGAAAAAGGTCAAAAAATTTCAAAATTGTTAGGCACCACCCTTTTTAGGAATTTCGTCAGAGGTTACGGATCCGTTGGAGAAAAGTCTTGAGGCCCTAGGGGATACGTCTTGGGGTCATATAATGGAGTTTGGAACTATATATGACCATTATATGTTGTAATACATGTCCGTGGTAGGCTTGTGTTTACGAAATTGGTGCAAGTTGCGAACGAGTAAATTGACCATTTAAAGGCATATTGGATAGTTGCACCCACCCAAATAGACTCACGGGGTGTATTAAGGGGTCCATGGTAAGCATCTTGACAATTTTTGTTTCCGGGTCAAAATAAGTGGAAAATTGTCCAAAATTGAAGGCTATAATACATTATTTCGGATCAATTTTTGACATTTTTTTAATAAATGAACTGAATGTGTTGGAGAACTCTTGAGGTTATAAAGAGATTTGAAACCATAAGACACAAATAAAGATGTCCATAAAGTACCAAGAATGAGTTTTGACTTCCTTAGGTGACTCGAGTTTGGGAACGGATAACCCCAGAAATTTTAATTTTTTGGTTAGGGGTTACTTGAGTTTTTCAGTCAGGGGTTACTTGAATTACACGGTCAGGGGTTACTTAAGGGATTCAGACAGGGTTTCACTCGGTTAAGGGTTACTCACTCAGAGGTTACTCGAGTTTCTCGATGAGGCCGCACACAAATAATTGTGGCTCGAGTATTCCCTCATCGAGAAACTCGAGTAACCCCGCCAACTTGAGTAACCCCTGGCCAAAAAACTCGAGTAAACCATGACCGAGAAATTCAAGTAATCCCGATAACTCAAGTAATCCTGACCGAGAAACTCAAGTAACTCCGGAAAACTCAAGTAACCCCTGACCGGGAAACTCGGGTAATAACCTTGACCGAGAAACTCAAGTAATCCCTGCGGCACGGTACAACAGGCTGTATATAAAAATTTGTGTTATTAATTAGCCTTTAAATTTAAGAAATTCATTATGGTATATAAATTCTACTACTTCATAATTTTTTTATAACTTAAATGAGAGTCCTTCAAAAACAAATGAATTATGTACAAATATAAGTAAAACTAATTTGTTGCTTTTCAAAAAAAAAAAAAAGTAAAACTAATTTGTTTCAATAAAAAAATAATTTAAAATTAGAAGCTAAGAGATCTGTTTTATATATAACATGTCTGTTTTCTTTTAACATGGAAAGCGAGCTCAATAAAAAAGTTAGAACCTAAGCAAGTCTCTCTTGTTTCAATATGAAAAGCAACTTTAATTAGAAAAAGTTGGAACCTAAGAGACCTAATTTATATACAACTGTTGGTCAGTTTAACATGGTATTAAAAGCCAATGAAACATTAAGGTTGTTACAAGTTCAAATGTCATCATCCACCCCTCTTTTTAATGTGGAATATTAAGCGTTGTATATGGTCATGGTGGGGCTCATGATGCATCACACTTCTACGGGCTATCTTGGGCTTCCTCGAACCCTTAGTTTAAGCTTTTATTAGAGATGGTCCTCTAACAATTGTACCACCTTTTTATTTAAAAGCTAGTGCAACTAATTGTTGTTTGAGTTATGACAATTGCAATGCAATTAATTAGAAAGAAGTTATTACCGAGCTACTATACCTAGAGAGCTATTGTTCTCTTGGTGAGGACACATGAGAACAAGGCCGAGTTGTGTTAACATTGGGGGGCGTGTATCACCAGGAAACTTGTACTGGTGGTGGCGTGCAATAGATTTTGTTCTGCGTGCTGCGCCACATTTGTATTATTGAGATCTTCAATTAAGTAAGACCCTGTTCTCTTCACCTTAATTTTGTTGAACTGAAATTATTTTTACTGAACTGAAATTATTTTTACTGAACTTTAATTATTTTTACTGAACTTAAATTATTTTTGCTGAACTAAAATTATTTTTACTGATTTTCTATTATAATTCTTCTTTAAGAAAACTGAATTTTACTGAATTAAACTTATTGTTACTGAACTGAAATTATTTTTACTGAACTGAAATTAATTTTACTGAATTGAACTTATTTTTACTGAACTGAAATTAATTTTACTGAACTGAACTTATTTTTACTGAACTGAAATTATTTTTACTTAATATTATTTTTTTAAGGTGAATAGAACAGGGCCTAATTCTCCCTTTCATCTTCAATTCTTTATTAATATATTCGGAATCAACATGCATTTTTTTTCCAACAATTGTTCTCCCTTTAGTATTACCCAATTTAGGGTCATCCTTATATTTTCTTGATAAAGTAAAATTTATTTAATGTATCAGTGCTTCTAATATCCAAGCATGAACCATGTTTTCTTAAGCATGCATGTACTTCATAGAGGAATTTTAAAGGGAGGAATGTTAGGCATTTAGAAATGCATAATAAAGGGTATTCATGTAATTATGCATATGTACAAATGAATAAATATTCTGATATCATTGGATGATTAAATGGTACCATTGAATATACAGTGAGACTATATGTGCACATAATGGGATTATATATGCATTCAGTTGTACTAAATTTATGCGTAAATAGTACTACTAAGGATTCAATAGTACTATATAAATTTTCAGTGGAACAATCAGCATGTGGTCCCCCATCACGTGATACAATCCGACCAAAAAATAGGTGTGGTCCACCCACATGCCTCTCTCTTCCTATCTCTCTCATCTTTTCTCTCTCTACCATGTGTTTTTATAATATTTTAATGAATGTCATGCATTAGTAAATGCATAACTTTCCTCCATTTCTAGTTCCTCTACTTCATATATATTGCGTACACAAAAATCGGCTTTGATGATTTAAAGGACAAATGTACGTACACTAATTTAATATACAATCAGAACATTAAAAAAGATTGCCGTACTACTATTCGATCATTTTCATAAACAAATAAATGCCCTAATTATACACAACAGATTACGTATGACACTAATTAATCGACTACAATTAAGCCAAAATTGTGATGATACTCATTAGGAGAAACGTAATCTGAATTGTAGAGAATGAAGTATTTGACATTTATATGATGCTCAGATCAATAAAATAATGATTGATGTTCGTTCCAAGTATTTCATTGTATGTTATAAACTCTCAAATAATAAACTTTATCACATATTCGCTAGCTCTATTTGGATCTTGGAAGAAATACAACAAAAATAACAAGCTACTACTAATCTACTATAGCAAGTTGAAAGTCTTATTTCCTCCTATTAATCCAATTTGCATTGATTTGATCTAATGAACAAATTTAATCCCAAA